GAGTCCTAAACACACTAGGTTTACACATGCCACTAACAGCCGGCTACTTAAAATCCATACGGAAGATAAAGGTATTTCTTTTCCTGTCGGTGAAAGGTCAACATTGAAGGGTTAAAGCGCGCTAGGGTTCAAGGCCCATGATGCCGACAGAGACTGCTTGTTTGCGACAACCGGTCTGTACAGCTTTATTTCGGTACTGGATCTTTACCCTCATCGTCAGACGGAGACAGCCGAAGCTTTCACACCATACCCCGCTGATACGAAGCTAACCTGCGATGCGGACGCTTTTATTTCTGAATCTATGGAGCGGCGCTAGCAGGAGAGGTAGCAGTAGCACTGTTAGCCGACTAAGCTAACCAGGCTAACTGGATGGTTACTGGGTGATTACTTTCATCCAGTGGCTCTTAACGCCCACCTACTGACAGGTGAAGACAAAAGTATTCCTGTCGTATATGCATACAAGAAACCGAAGGAGCTCCGGACGAAAACAAGTTATATTTGCCGCTTGTTAGCTAGTGGCTAATAGCAACTTCCTTCCTGTTTCTCCAACGGCGCGAAGCTCTCGTGACCCTCGAACACCTACGCAGTAATGAATGTCCCTTACCTGTTGAAAAGTCGATGTGTAAGAAAGGGTCCTGCTTTTAATGAAATAATATTGTGTTTTCTGCGGCTGTTGGGAGGGTCAGAGTTCGTGACCTTTTTTTATCAATAGAGGGTTTGTCGCGCATGCGCATAGAGGCAGCTGCGGTGTGTGTGTCAGAGCGGCTGCGGTGCGTTTACTGTCCGTCATGTCTGCAGCCAGCATCTCACCGGCTCCTTCTGGTGATTTGAATGATATGGCTGGTGGCTATCACTTATCTGTATTTAAAAAGAAACCTGAATGAGGCAAAAAATATATATTTTTAAACCTTTTTAAATGTTCTTCTTCTTGTTGGATTTATTGGCGGTTGGTAACAAACATTTAGTAGCATTACCGCCACTTACTGGTATGGAGTGTGGTTTGTGATGGACTATCTACTTAATAAACATATATATAATTTCTAAGGAAAAAAAAAACAAAAACTACATACTTATTCATAACTTTGTATTCTACCCGTCTATATTTCACACACATTCACACTCTCTATAATTAGATTCTATGAAATAATTTAGTTTTCTTTAAAAATCGAATAATTATTTGTATACGTTTTCTCACCAAATTCTTCCTCAAAATATCTAATAAATTAATCTTTTCATTAATACATTCAAACTCTTTCCTTATATATCTCCTTTCTCTTTCAATTTTATGACATTCCAGTATGTTCTATTGTTTCATATTTTGTGTATAATTTAGCCCTGTATTTTAACCAAATTTTAACTTTATCACTCTCTCCTCTTTTCTATTTCGTCTTCCATTTCTTCCTTTTCCTACTATCTTCTGAATTTTATAAAACCATCTTCCTGTTTTTTCTTCATCCCACCATTTTAGCCATTGTTCCATCAGTTTTTCTTTAATAATACTCTTTCCCTCAGATTTACTTGTTTTAACTGTATAACTAATAGGATTTTGAAAGCTGTAATAATGTTATGCATTTTATTTGAGAAACAACAGCAAAAAACAAAAGTAGCAAAGTTGTACACCACCTAGACCTATGAAAACCTCATTCACTGAGAAATAATAATGCCTCTATGTTTACGGGAGTGTGTGTGCAAACAGAGGGTTGTGGCTAAAGGAAGCGAGGTAGGAGGGCAAAATAGGTTTAGCGCCACCGCAGCACAAGAGTCAGAATTATGTCCAGGAGCAAATGAATAAACATGATTCGATACTCTTGCGGACGTCTCGATGCATCGGATCGTCGGCTATAAATACTAGTTCTATAGCCCCCATATTCTTTCCTTTTTAATCTTTTCTGTGTTCTTTTTTTACTGACTTTCATTATTGTGTTATAGGGATTAATGCAATAAACACTGAAAACTGTCTTCTTTGTGTTTCTGCTTACATTTCTGTTGTAACTGTAGTTGTGCGGCTTCTTTTAAGCCCCTGGTAGACTTCACAGTCCCTAAATAGAATTGAATAGAAAATCCATAAAAAAAAATAAAAAGCAACATCAAAGATGTGCAAAATGAAAGCAGCATGTTATTTAACTAACTAAGATAGAAACTGTGCAAAATTACCATGAATGAAACAACTTATTGAGGTTGATGGGAACTGGTGGTTATAGAGTCTTCCAGCTGCTGGGAGGAAGGATCTGTGATAACGCTCCCTGGTGCATTAAGGGTGCAGCAGTCTGTCATTGAAGGAGCTCTCCAGTTCAGCACCAGCTTCATGCATGGGGTGGGAGACATTATCCAACAGAAATGTTCATTTAGTTATGATTCTTTTGGTTCCCACCTCCTGCACTGAGTCCAGAGGGCATCCCATCACAGAGTATTATTAGATTTTTTATCAGCAAGAATGAAATTTTAGGATCCCCTGAGAAATAAATAAAATCACACAAAATATATCATGGCTTATGAAGGCTTTATAAGGTTTTACATTCATGCTGATTTTTAAATAACCTGCTGCTGTCATTTTGCACATCTCTGATGTTGCTGCTATTTTTCAAATATCCATTACTGTAAAAATGTCCAGTATTTATATTGTATTTATATTGTTAAAACACTTAACGGTACAGTATTTTTTAACATGCAAACACCCAAACATGCTGCTAGCCAGTGTGTCATTTGCTGCTTCAGAATGACGTGCTGTAATTTAAACAACCATAAATTGTGTCCTATAAGAAGAAAGAATAAGAAATTCATATCTGGCTAATAATTTACAGATGTCTGACTATTGGGTTATACAGCAGGAGAATGGTCCTTATCAGAGATGGGAAGTAACGAAGTACAAATACTTCGTTACTGTACTCAAGTAGATTTTTCTGATATTTTTACTTTACTTTACTACTTATTTTTATGGCGACTTTTTACTTCTACTCCTTACATTTTTACACAAATATCTGTACTTTCTACTCCTTACATTTTAAAAAATTGTCTCGTTACTTTAGTTTTGAATCATTTCAATGGAGTTACCGTTATTATTTTTCACGTCATCAATACCAAATTCAATCTAATTGGATGGGAATCTACGTTGCATTTGATGCACCACTACAAGATGAATCGACAGATTCGTCGGTATTCATTGGCGGCAAATCATTGCAGCTTGGTGGCGGTGGCGTTACATAGTAGCATGGACGACGAGATGATTGAAAATGAACACAACGGAGATCTAGTCCTATTGGCAGACATCCATTTAAAATGTAGGCAACGGCATGAAAAAAGTGGTTTCTACTTTTACTTTTATACTTTAAGTAAATTTACAAGCCTGTACTTTGTTACTTTTACTTGAGGAAAGAAGTTTAATCAGTACTTCCACTTTTACCAGAGTATTTTTTAACACAAGTATCTGTACTTTTACTCAAGTACGGAAAGTGAGTACTTTTGCCATCTCTGGTCCTTATAGCATAACACCTCAGGTAATCCCCCTAACTACAGGATTTGAGACGGCTTTGACAATGTTCAGCCTTTAATCACATTGAGTGATGAAATTACATAAAATCATGTTCAAAAATCCTCAAACTTGTGATATGCATTTCTGTAAAGAACCGGCTTACAGAGAGGAAAAAGCCTCCTTGCCAGTTCTTCTCATCACTTGATGGGAGTTGATGCTACGAAAGATGGCACAATATTATTTATTAGACTTGGGGGACAATGGTGCAAAAAAAAAAAAGCATAAACATTAAAAAAAAAATCTTTTTTTTTTAAATAAAATTGTACCCAATAAAGCTTTATTCTGTTTATAAAATTTGAAATGATTAAAATTCAGTCCCTGATTTAGCCAAAATTAAAGAAATTCCAGTTTACTAAAGAATTTATGTTAAATACAGTCTTTTTTCGCTCCCTCCCCTAAAAATGCAATGTTGTTAAACTATAGACTAGGGATGCACGATATTGGGATTTTAGCCGATATCCGATATGCCGATATTTTAAAACTCATGTAGCCGATAACCAATATCAATACTGATGTTAAAGCTGGACAAAAATAAGTAGTCATTGAAAATAACAGTTTGGTTATCCATTTCTGACACTTTGAAAAATAATATACTCAAATATATTTTCATATGCTGATATCAAATTGATTTTTAAAAACGCGGTATCGATCTATTTCACTTTCAAAATCTCGTGAAATTTCATCGTTCTGTTACAAACTCTCGTGATATTTTGCAAATTCTTGTGAGATTTTGTTAGTAAAATAGATCGATACCGCGTCAATATATCAACATATAAAAATATGGCAAAATTTCGTGAATTTTCGGGGGATTTCATAGCATAACGATGACATATAGCAATATTTCATTAGTAAAAGAGATTGATATGGTGTTTTTAAATGGCATATCAGCATATGAAGATATTGTGATATATTAATGTATCAATAGTTTTTTCCCTCGTCTTTAGAAGTTTTTAAGTCTGTAAGAAAGAAGTTTTTGAGAAGGAAGAAGAAGTAGTATTTTTATTTTTTATTAGACTTTAGAAACTCAGAAGCTGATCAAATATTGGGTTAAATATCGGTGGGGTGGCCGATGTCCGATATTCAGTTTTAAGGCCGACACAGGCCGATACCGATAGGGGGCCGATTATATCGTGCATCCCTACTATAAACAATTTAATTCTATAGACAATTTAAGCTATTCTTGGTACAAACCCATAAACATGCCCACGATATCTTAATATTAGATAAATTATACTTGGCAACAAATAAAATTGGAATCAGGAGCAAATATCTTTGCTGGCCTCTTGTTCAATGTTTCCTTTTAAATAAAATAAATTATCTTACCCAATACCTAAATTTAAACTAAAGTAAAAGTGGGATATGTATGAATAAATCCCTAAACTCCAAAGCAAAAACATGTGGTACTTTTAAAATACTTTTTATTCAGCATTTTCAAACTCCAAGCTGTAACACAAAGGACAACAAACGTGAATATCTGCAGACATTTGACTATATTTGCTTCACAGTCAAATGATATTTCACAGTTTACAGGTAAGATTCCATATGTACATCCACTTAAGTGCAAAATATATTACAGTGAAGTTATTTTTATACAGTGCCTTCATGCGTTAGACCAAAAGTGCAGCCTCTGTGGTTTTCTACTGATAGTGTGGCAGCATGGTGCTATAGAACAACAAAAACTAGAACTTAGATGCCAATCACTTATCATTTGAATTTTTGTGAATTTAATGTGAATTTGTAACTATAATTAACTAATATATGAAGATCCAAGACAAAAGCCTGCAAATTTTGAACGATTACTTTTTTGGAGTTAAAAGGTGAATTAAATGTACAAAAATGGAAAAATCTAGCATCCTAAAAATAAAGTAAAAAATAAAAATGTGTATGACGACAGTTGTTTTGCATTTTTCTATGGAGCTCTGAGGTATATATATATATATATTTAAAAAAAAAACGTTAAAAAAACCATCGAAATCCCCATCAGATGTTACAATACAATTGCCTCTCTGAACGAGTCGATCCATCTGTTCAAAAACAACAACAAAAATATTCTTGAAATCATTGATTCTTCCCGTGTAGAACAATAAACTGATTTTAACTTTTCAGCCGTACATACCTTTGGGCCGTTTGAGCGTCGTCTGCCCTGAAAATGTAGTAGAGCGTGTTTTTGTGGTATAGCTTAAACTGCTGCTTCTCTGAGGAATCGACTTTTAAAACGAAGCCCAGCAGGGGCTGACTCTCTGAGGCTGCAACATCCTGCAGGTAGAACCAAAACAAAGGCACACATTAGATAAATTTTAGCTTTTGACGAAGGTATATTTCTGCTAAAGCAGAGGTACTTACCTCACTGGCTGCATAAGTGTACAGCACTTTGTCTTTAATGACAAACCACAGCCTCTTCCAATGCTTTTTATTGTGCTTTGACCTGTGCAGATAACCGCTCATGGATGAATCGTCTGTGTTTGCTGACACCTAAAACAGACAAGTAGTCACATTAGTTTGCAGCTCAATTAGAAATATTTATTTTGTAAAATCAAAAATAGAATTTTTATGTCATGTAAAGAAAGAGTGGTTTGTGCACACCTGAAAAGAGAAGATTCTGAATTTACTGAAATTTTATAAAACAAGCTTTAACTCAGAACCTCAGGTTTCGAAGCTCTACACCCTAACTAGGCTGCCACTCCCTTCCACCTTACGGTAACAATCACATTTTTTGAATATGACTGTTTATGACTAAAGCATCACTTACCTCTTTAAGTGCAGCCGGGATCTTCTTCTGCTTCCTGGAAAACGCGATGGTCGCCCTGCTTCCAGGTGTCATTGCTGCGCTTGAGACCACGTCACCTAATGAACAGGAAGTGGTTTAACTATGAGAGCATATTAATAAACCTATTTATAAATATTACAATCTATGTCTAAACCACAGATATATTTCAATATGTAAAAGTGTAAAAATAAATGGCCTCAGATTGCAAACAATGGCTATAAACATGTCTTACTTTTCTGTTGCTGAAGAATGAGGAAACACTGGTCACACACTCGTGCTGACTGGTTCTTTAGATATGCAAGACAGTGTTTATTGGAGGAACAAGACTGGCAAACCACCTGAGGGGATGAAACAGCAGAAGAGTTTCAGTTATGTAAGACGGAGCCGTGTTAAATAGTTCTCTAATTGTGGTAGAATAATAATATATAATTTCAGCTGCTGGGAAAGTAAATAAAGTCTCAGAGTGGTGAGGCCTTAACCTGACTCCGCCAGATGGATTTGCTCTGTATATCCATCTGGAAACCTTCCGTTGAAGTAATTTTGGGAAGGAGCGAAAATACTGGTTAGCTGATTGGCCTATGTTGGTGATAGACGGGCCAAATAAACCAATCAGATCAACGAAGCATATGACGTACTAACAGAGCGACGACGAAGAGGAACCAATTGATAGATCAAACTCTTGCCGAAACCAGTCGGGAGAAGAGCAAAAACATCTTTTCCTCTGAGAAAAGCCTCCAGAGCAGTGTTTTGCTCTTCTTTCAGTGAAGAAATACTCTGCAATTCCGATAAAACTTGCTCGATAGCCACGCTAACGCTAGTTTCATCGGCTGAAGCCGCCATGTTCTTTAAACTGAACTGTCGCGCTTCTCGTTGCGTCACACCTCAACCCACCTCAAAGCCAACGCTGATTGGACGTTCGTTTGGTGAACGGCTCCAAATTTTCTTTAATGGAGAGTCTCCAGACTGATCTGCGAGTGAAACCTTGAAAGCTCGCGAGATCAGGATGGTCTCACGAGGCTACGTGAGGCCAAGCTAGTCAAAAATCGGTATCTGACTTGTTATTCAATATAAAATCCATTCTGAAAAAGTTAGTAACAGTAAACAATAAACCCAGTAAGGTTTTCTGGGTTCCTTAAAAGTTCAAAAAATCCACTGGACTTGGTTTCCAAGATTTGAAGACGTTTCGCCACCTCTCCAGGAAGCTTTCTCAATTCAAATGTCTGGATCCGCAGTGAGTTTGAGTCTTTATATAGACAAGGATCCAGACATTTGAATTGAGAAAGCTTCCTGGAGAGGTGGCGAAACGTCTTCAACTCTTGGAAACCAAGTCCAGTGGATTTTTTGAACTTTTACGGAATGACTATGACCTGGATGACTGAGAATCTTCATCTGCACGTTTTCTGGGTTCAATATCTCACTAAAGTCTTTAGAAACTCTGCAACTTTTCTACATTTTCTCCACCTTACATAAACACAAATTTCAGTGTGTTTAAGTGTGACTAATCTTCATAACCAAAAACAGTCCACAGAGGGAAAATATGAAATGTTTTCATCTCAGATTATTTCATTTTATTCACCTATGGAACAAGTGCAATTTTTTTTTTTTTTTTGGAATGAGATCTGGACTTGGACTGGGCTATTTTTGCACATGATCATTCTTTAACCTAAATCATTCTATTGTAGATTTGTCTGAATGTTTAACAGCTTTTTCCAAAATTAAAAAAAATTGTAATATAATTAATTATAATTATAAAGATTCACCGTAACTGCAATGCAAAAATATTCCCATAGCATCATACTGCCACCACACTGTTTCGCTGTGGGGACGGTAGTGATGTGATGCATTTGATTTCCTCATCCTGTCATTACTTTGTGGCTTTTTTTATATATATATATCTCTGTCAGATATTCAACTTTATCTCTGAGAGGTCTGTTGTGTTCCATGCTTTTCATAAACCTTTGTGTTCACTAAAGTGTGTTAAAAAACATCTGAGACCCATTGATTTACTAATAAGGAGACCTCTAAAGGTAATTGGTTGTACCTAGTTTTATTCAGATGTGTTATATTATAGTGTCTATAATAAACTGTTTGGATTTTCATTTGTAAAAAGAGGGAACAACCATGAAACTAAAACCTAGTTTAAGGAGATGAACACTTTATTTGATGTGCAGGGACTTCATTACTTTTTTACAAAAGGTAATATACTGTTAAAATGAGGAAGTTATGTCCCCTAAAAAGGCAGTTGCACCTCAGGGCCTTCCCACCGGTTCTTTTCCAGGGAGCAAGTTACTCACTACTATTAACTCATATATAAAAAAGGACTATAAAAACAGGAGTAAAAAGGTAACAGAGTTTATTCCAGATCAGGTCGTTACAGGACAGAGAAAAAGCTTGGAGCTTGCACAGCTGTGGGCTCAAAAAATTACTGATTTCTCTTTTATCAAAAAAAAAAAAAAAAGAGAAGGTCCGGAAATCCTATTTTTCCACTGTAGGGTAAAAAAATAACAAACAGAGCATGCTTTGGTCTCCAAACCTTTCCACATGCACGGCAGTGGTGTCTCCTCCACGTCAGGGTGAAGTCGCAGGTGCAGATCATGCACATGGTTGTCCGTAGGTCCGGAATCCAAATGGGGGCTTTAGATCCCAACGGCTCTCCATCAACTTGATCGGCCAAATGTCCCTGGATAGAAATACATAAAAATATTGTATGAAAATAAATACAACTAACTGCTGAAACACAATAAAAGTTCATAAAACAGAAAAATGTACCCCAGGAGATGTTCTTCCCTGAGCTGGAGTGTTGGTGGACATAAAACTTATTTTCCTTTTCGTATATTCGCTGATAGCCGAGGAAATTGTTGTAAGCCATTCATCCCGCTCTGCAGCCGAACTTTAGAGAGAGAAAAGAAACTAAACGTGATGCTGACAGAGATGTTCTTAGTGTGATTAGAAGAAAGCGTGTTCCTAACTTACCTGGCAGACAGAATAAAGGAGCGCTCCACACTTTCTATGTTCAGCTCATTCTGATAGGCCTCTTGACTGGGTTTGCTAACCTGTGATCATTATCATTGTGAACGACGGCACCAGAAAAGACAAACTTGTGATATATGAACATAAAAAGACTCTCACCTTCATCCCGGACAGAGACAGCATGTTTTTCAGCTTGAACTGGCCTGACTGAACAGGGGTGGTGTAGAGCAGCACGTCGCTAAGCTGAGAGACGCACAAAAAAGAGTTTTCAGTTGTTTAATAACAACATAATAACCAAAGGTGTGACATGAACAGCGTCCGTCACCTTCAGAATAATGGATTTACAGCAGAACCACTTAGGTATCTCCACATTCAATAAAAACATGAATATAGATTTGTTTTTTGTTTTTTTACAAATTAAAGCTTTAATTACATAGTTAAATTATCAAATGGCTCATTTTAATGATCCTTAACCCTATAATGCCAAATGTAACGTATTTGATACATACGGTTTCTGAAATGTTTTGCATCTGACACCTTTTGCATAATGGTAAAAACTTTGCTCAAAATCCTATTGACACAATCAGATATACCTGATAACAGCCAGTAGAAGACTATACATTGACTTATAGCATAGTAATAAATTATTAATATCAAAAATGTATTTCTGTTTTTTCTTTTTACATATTTTGTTAAAAGGGCAAATAAGGACTTCAAATAAAAAAAAAGTAATTTTCTGTTTTGTTTTATTCTTGGATCGGGCTTTAAAGGGTTAAACTCTGAATGTGTTTTTAGTTTTTATTTGAAATAAGATTGAAAAAGACTTTTCCCTCATCCTACATGTAAATAAGTGTTTATAAAACTACAAATTCTTTATATGATTTATGGTCAATACAACAGGTTCACTATTTGATTTTATTATCTTTAAGAAGAAAGAGACATTTTTTGTAGCTGCTGATGAAGCGAATTGTTGAAGATGCCAAAATAACATAATCCATCTGAGGGGAGTGTTGGCCTAGTGGTTAGAGCAGTGCGCTTGTGCTCTGAGAAGGATGCAAGCACCCAGGTCGATCCCCACAGCCTGCACTCTGGGTCCCTGAGCAAGACCCTTAAACCCTAACAGCTTCCCCGGTTGCCACACAATGGCACCCTACTGCTCCCCAGGGGGATCGGTTAAATGCAGAACGTGAATTTCGCCATTGTGGAACAATAATAGGATTTACAGAACGCTCGGAAAATATGCCGTTTCCCATCTTGCCATCCTAAAGAGAGCGAGACCAACCTTCTCTTTTAGCTGATAGCTGCCACAGACCAACCTGCCTGAAGCCAGTGGCAGCAGACATTAAATGCAGCTGCCTCTGTGGGAAATGATCCACCAAGGCCAACCCAAAGTAGCCTCGTTAGACCATCCTGATCTCGCGAGCTTTCAAGGTTTCACTCGCAGATCAGTCTGGAGACTCCGTTGAAGAAAATTTGGAGCCGTTCACCAAACGAATGTCCAATCAGCGTTGGCTTTGAGGCGGGTTGAGGTGTTACGCAACGAGAAGCGCGACAGTTCAGTCTAAAGAACATGGCGGCTTCAGCCGATGAAACTAGCGTTAGCGTGGCTATCGAGCAAGTTTTATCGGAATTACAGAGTATTTCTTCACTGAAAGAAGAACAAAACACTGCTCTGGAGGCTTTTCTCAGAGGAAAAGATGTTTTTGCTCTTCTCCCGACTGGTTTCGGCAAGAGTAGCCTGGCTGTTAGTACGTTATATGCTTCGTTGATCTGATTGGTTTATTTGGCCCGTCTATCACCAACATAGGCCAATCAGCTAACCAGCATTTTCGCCCCTTCCCAAAATTACTTCAACGGAAGGTTTCCAGATGGATATGCGGAGCAAATCCATCTGGCGGAGTCAGGTTAAACCCAAAGGCCTTAGTGCCAATAGTTTCCAACAACATAAAGACGTCGGTGAAAGGCTGCAGCTGGGGCAAGGAGAGACTGAAGACTTCTTTCTCAACAGGTGGGATTGTTACTTTTTTGGCCTTTGAGAGTCAAGGATGCAATAGATCCACCATGGAACTGTATAATACACTTATACTTTGAATAAAGTGAAAAAGGTTTTTCTTATAGACTTTTCACCTCTGGTAGAATATAAATCATAGCAGGCAAACAGGATTAAATCTTAGGCTTTTAATCACATAATGATTGATCCTTCATGTAGTAAGCACAATTACTGTCAGATAGATGATTCGATTAATTAATAAATAGTTGAATATATGAATTTATAGTAATAAATATTGATATGGTAATGTAATTTAAACTATACAAGACAGAGAGGCGAGGAATTAAAAGGTGGATGGATTATTTTAGGATGACTGTTGCCACTCGGGAATCCATGGTGATTTGAAAACAGTCACTTTCTAAGCAGTGAGCTCTGATCTAATGACAGCCCAAAGACTCGGATACATCAGGTCCTTATATCAGGCTGCAGGGTTACTTAAAACACAAAATGTTCTGCTGCATTCAGAAAGCAAAGCTCTTCATTTTGTACTGATTGTGCAGACGATTACGCAAAAGCGCACAAACAGTTTACAGTGATTGTTACCAAAACAATAAGGACAAAAAAAGTTACTGTGTAAAGTACCAGAAAGAACATTCTGGGCTGCATGACCTTCCGGGACAACTTCATCAGGAAACCCTCTTTGATAAAGACCTGGAGCATAAAAATCAAAGATTTCTTTAAATTACAGATTCTACATGTCAGATAGACACACCGCTCTGCAGACTGAAACTTACCCTTCCTGGTTGGATGATGACGTGGTGGCCGCTCAGACGATTTTGCACCTGGATCAGCTTCTCTAAGTTATCCTGGGGTGAAAACAAACATGAATCAGCAACATTTACAGGCTTTCCAAGGATATGTTTAAAATATGCCCTTCAATGTTTTGATACGGCTCTCACCCCATGCTTCATGATGTCATTGGCGTGAGTGGCCACCTCTTTCAAAAGAGCGAGGGCAGCTGATTGGATTAAAAAGTGTTTTATGTCACGCTTTCAGATAAACCTTGAACATTTTCACGTTTTCTTACAAAATATACCAAATATTTTACTTTATAGCTAACGGACATAAGATAAAAAAAATCTTCAAGGGACATGAGCTCTGTATGCTTCAGGGGACAAAATGAAACACAGCTAATAGTTTACCTTCAGTGTCTTTGTAGTCATCTGAGTCTTCTGACAGATTCTTCAGGTAGTCTGGAAAGATTAGAAAAGCACATGAGTGGAAAACCTACGGAAGACGATTAGGGCCACTGGAAAAAAAAAAAAAAGTTAACTGATTTTTAAATTTTATTTCAGTTTAACATGGGGAAAGAAGTCAGAATTCTGACTTTTTTCTCAGAACTCTGACTTTAATCTCAGAATTCCGACTTTTTTCTCAGAATTCGGACTTTTATCTCAATTCTGTCTGACTTTTATCTCAGAATTCTGACTTTAATCTCAGAATTTTGGATCTTAATGTAGATGGGCACCATGAAGGAAGAGATGTGGGAGCAATCAACTTTGTTTAATCAACATATTAAACTGAAATAAAATTAAAAAATCAGTTAACTTTTTTTTTTTTCAGTGGCCCTAATCCTCTTCCGTCAAAACCTGAATTTCCACCCAGGGTTTCAAATAATCTCCTTTCTGGGATGTGAATTACACGAATGTTTTGAAAATACAATCCTGGATAAAAAGAGTCTGCAGGCGCTTATATAATGTACTTACAGAACAATGACGTGGTCAGCATTTTACGCATTTTTATACCCCATTCATTGCACGAAACACTTCCAAAGCTTTGGTTATGTCACCTAATCCGATTTGGGGAGCTTTTTAGAAGTCTTGCTATACAGTAGCAGCCATTCAAAACGGCCCCTCCCAGTCAAACGCCAGCCAAATGGCAGCTCACTTCCCACAAACTCCGTGCGAAATCCCCTCCAACTTACATCCACTGGAGTGACCCCCTCTTGCATATTTGTTTACTCTGACTCCAGCCTTTCACTGAATTACAGGGTCTGACCAGGAGATGATGCTTCTCTTTAGAAGCTCATTTGCCTGGCTGTGTGTTTCCTGGAAGGGGCCGCCTTTGACAGTATCTCTGCTTCTGTCTCCTTTACCCCCAGTCGGCCTCTGCAGATGGCCGCTGGTTCTGCTGGAGGTTTCTTCCTGTTAAAAGGGAGTTTTTCCTCTCCACTGTTGCTACAAGCATGCTTAGTGTGAGGAATTGCTGAAGAGCCAATGAGTCGATGCAATCAACTGGTTTTCCTTAGATAGAAAACTTTGAATCAATTTGAATGGATGATCTGGTGAATTGAGATGACATGTGTTGTAAATTGGTGCTATATAAATAAACTGAAAACTTCAATTTTAAATCTTAGTGTCGACAAATCACGATAGAAAAAATGTTTTAGTACAAAGATCGATGTTTAAAAAGGAATTTTTACCCATCAAGGAAAGTGGGGAAATTTTGAATGGCTACTACTGTAAGTTGATTGTGGGCAAATTCAAAGGTTTTGAACACCAGAGGGCAGCATGGTGTCAATAATGAGACCTTAAAGAGAGGCTACACAAGCACAGGTGTAGTGAATTCATGCTTAAAACCAGTCATCTGTTTTGGATTTACCTGTGAGCAGCAGCTGATACTGAGGAATTCGCTGGACTGGCTTCAGCAGATAATGTTTTATAGCCAAGTTAGCACAACGTGGACTCGTCTAAAATAAAGGAAATAAGAAGACATTTTTTATCTGCAAATGTAAATCCTCCTATTCTGGCCTAAACAAATAAAATGCCACCAACATAGACACGCCTCCCCAAACAGCTGAAACAGAACAGGTTTGGCAGGATTACCTCGAATTCTCTGACAACAGCGGCAAACGCAGAGTTCTTCTTAGTCTGCTCCTCCAGTAGGTTCACATTCTTGTTGAACTCGCGGATGTATGTGGAGTACATCTTTAAATAATGCCCTTTCTTCAGGAACAGGTCAGCCACCTGGGAACTCTCATCCCTGTTTACGAGACAAACCAGGTCAGCTGGATGTACGGATAAAGTGCCCAAAGTTTCAGGGTTTTATATCTTTTCTTTGAAATTAGCAAAAAAGATTTTGAGTTTTGTCTAAAATATTAGCAGTGTACTTTAAGGACAGGGTTTCGAACTCTTCATCCCTGATTCAATTTTCCAGTATTTTGATGAACTTATTCATGATTCCTGATATGCAATAAAATGGCTTTATTAACATTCCCACATCATAATGCCTAAACCACCATGCTTCACAGTGAACCTACAGCTTTCATTCAGAGTTTAGTAAACAATATTTTTTTCATCAGTCCATAAAATGCTGGAGCCAGTGTGTTCCCGCAAAATGTCAGGAGCATTAGTTAGACTTAGATTTATTTTAGAAAGATTTAGTAAGATAGTTTCCTACCATAGTGGGGACTATTGCTTATACACTCACCGGCCACTTTATTAGGTACCCCATGCTAGTAATGGGTTGGACCCCCTTTTGCCTTCAGAACTGCCTCAATTCTTCGTGGCATAGATTCAACAAGGTGCTGGAAGCATTCCTCAGGGAGTTTGGTCCATATTGACATGATGGCATCACACAGTTGCCGCAGATTTGTCGGCTGCACATCCATGATGCGAATCTCCCGTTCCACCACATCCCAAAGATGCTCTATTGGATTGAGATCTGGGGACTGTGGAGGCCATTTGAGAACAGTGAACTCATTGTCATGTTCAAGAAACCAGTCTGAGATGATTCCAGCTTTATGACATGGCGCATTATCTTGCTGAAAGTAGCCATCAGAAGTTGGGTACATTGTGGTAATAAAGGGATGGACATGGTCAGCAACAATACTCAGGTAGGGCTGTGGCGTTGCAACGATGCTCAGTTGGTACCAAGGGGCCCAAAGAGTGCCAAGAAAATATTCCCCACACCATGACACCACCACCACCAGCCTGAACCGTTGATACAAGGCAGGATGGATCCATGCTTTCATGTTGTAGATGCCAAATTCTGACCCTACCATCCGAATGTCGCAGCAGAAATCGAGACTCATCAGACCAGGCAACGTTTTTCCAATCTTCTATTGTCCAATTTCGATGAGCTTGTGCAAATTGTAGCCTCAGTTTCCTGTTCTTAGCTGAAAGAAGTGGCACCCGGTGTGGTCTTCTGCTGTTGTAGCCCATCTGCCTCAAAGTTCGACGTACTGTGCGTTCAGAGATGCTCTTCTGCCCACCTTGGTTGTAACAGGTGGTTATTTGAGTCACTGTTGCCCTTCTATCAGCTCGAACCAGTCTGGCCATTCTCCTCTGACCTCTGGCATCAACAAGGCATTTCCGCCCACAGAACTGCAGCTCACTGGATGTTTTTTCTTTTTCGGACCATTCTCTGTAAACCCTAGAGATGGTTGTGCGTGAAAATCCCAGTAGATCAGCAGTTTCTGAAATACTCAGACCAGCCCTTCTGGCACCAACAATCATGCCACGTTCAAAGTCACTCAAATCACCTTTCTTCCCCATACTGATGCTCGGTTTGAACTGCAGGAGATTGTCTTGACCATGTCTACATGCCTAAATGCCCTGAGTTGCCGCCATGTCATTGGCTGCTTAGAAATTAAGTGTTAACGAGCAGTTGGACATGTGTACCTAATAAAGTGGCCGGTGAGTGTAGTTACTGTAATGACAAAAAAAAATTTAATAATCTTTTCTCTATCTGAAGCCTGTCACAAGTACAAAGCAACTAAATTCACTCCCTGCATTTAACTCATCCCCTTTGGGAGCAGTGGGCTGCCGTTGTGTGGCGCCCGGAGAGCAGCGTGGCGTTAGGGTCTTGCTCAGAGACCCAGAATTGCAGTCTGTGGGAGAAGGGCTTGAACTCAGAACCTCTGGGATTCAAGCCCAATGCCCTCAACACTAGGCCGCCAAGATGAGGCTCCTCTGATTCTTAAAGTAAACGGAGAGTTTTTACCATACCAACTTCTCTAGGATTAGATAGTGGTTGGTTTCTTGTCATTACCCATAGGTTTTTTTTTGTCCTGTCTTTTGTCCTTATTTATTTTAATTTTCTACACACCAAATAATATCATGTGGGGAAAATCTTTATTTATTTATATTTTCCCTTTTTTTAAAGCCTAAAAATACAATTAAACTGTTGGTTGTTTACAATGGCAAGACATAAAAAAAAAAACAATATTTTTTTAGGACTACTATCACTATACTGGAAAAAACGAAAACTAGATAAGTCACTTTTCTTAAAATACAGGTGCTGGTCATAAAATCAGAATATCATGAAAAAGTAGATTGATTTCAGTAATTCCATTTAAAAAGTGAAACTTGTATATTATATTCATACATTACATACAAACTCATATATTTCAGATGTTTATTTTGTTTAATTTTGATGATTACAAATGACAACAAATGAAAATCTCAAATTCATCATATCAGAAAATTAGAATATTACTGAAGACCAATAAAAACAAAGGATTTATAGAAATGTTGGCCAACTGAAAAGTATGAACATGAAAAGTATGAGCATGTACAGCACTCAGTATTTAGTTGGGCCTCCTTTGGCCTGTATTACTGCAGCAATGCGGCGTGGCATGGAGTCGATCAGTCTGTGGCACTGCTCAGGTGTTATGATAGCCCAGGTTGCTCTAATAGTGGCTTTTAGCTCTTCTGAATTGTTGGGTCTGGTGTATTGCATCTTCTTCTTCACAATACCCCATAGATTTTCTATGGGGTTAAGGTCAGGAGAGTTTGCTGGCCAATTAAGAACAGGGATACCATGGTCCTTCAACCAGGTACTGGTAGCTTTGGCACTGTGTGCAGGTGCCAAGTCCTGTTGGAAAATGAAATCTGCATCTCCAAAAAGTTGGTCAGCTGCAGGAAGCATGAAGTGCTCTAAAACTTCCTGGTATGTGGCTGCGTTGACCCTGGACCTCAGAAAACACAATGGACCAACACCAGCAGATGACATGGCACCCCAAACCATCACTGACTGTGGAAACTTTACACTGGACTTCAAGCAACGTGGATGAAGTGCCTCTCTTCTTTTCCTCCAGACTCTGGGACCTTGATTTCCAAAGGAAATGCAAAATTTACTTTCATCAGAGAACATGACTTTGGACCACTCACCAGCAGTCCAGTCCTGTTTCTCTTTAGCCCAGGCAAGACGCTTCTGACGCTGTCTGTGGTTCAAGAGTGGCTTGACACAAGGAATGCGACAGCAGAAACCCATGTCTTTCATACGTCTGTGTGTGGTGGTTCTTGAAGCACTCACTCCAGCTGCAGTCCACTCTTTGTGAATCTCCCCCACATTTTTGAATGGGTTTTGTTTCACAATCCTCTCCAGGGTGCGGTTATCTCTCTTGCTTGTACACTTTTTTCGACCACATCTTTTCCTTCCCTTCGCCTCTCTATTAATGTGCTTGGACACTGAGCTCTGTGAACAGCCAGCCTCTTTAGCGATGACCTTTTGTGTCTTGCCCTCCTTGTGCAAGGTGTCGATGGTCGTCTTTTGGACAACTAGCAAGTCAGCAGTCTTCCCCATGATTGTGTAGCCTATAGAACTAGACTGAAAGACCATTTAAAGGCTTTTGCAGGTGGTTTGAGTTAATTAGCTGATTAGAGTGTGGCACCAGGGGCCATCAATTTTGAACCTTTTCACAATATTCTAATTTTCTGATATGATGAATTTGAGATTTTCATTTGTTGTCATTTGTAATCATCAAAATTAAACAAAATAAACATCTGAAATATATGAGTTTGTATGTAATGTATGAATATAATATACAAGTTTCACTTTTTAAATGGAATTACTGAAATCAATCTACTTTTTCATGATATTCTAATTTTATGACCAGCACCTGTAAGTGCATTTGTTCTTGGATGAGGAGGTAAAAGAGACATTTTGCCAATGGAACAAGACAATTTACACTTAAAATAAGAAAACTCGATTGCATTGTCTTATTTCAAGTAAACATTATCAGATTATCTTATTCTAAGAGTAAAAATACTCATTCCATTGGCAAACTATCTCATTTACCGACTCAAATTAACAGTAAATACACATAATTTAAGACATTTTAACTTATTTCTAGATCGTTTTTCTATAGTATGAAAATCCTATGCTGTAAAGCCTGGCATTTGGTGGACTTTAGTTCCTTGGATTGGTTTAATGCGACCAACATTAAATATGTTTGTACAAATATTTGAAACGATGATATACCAGTGAGCAACTTTCTGCTCCAGCTCTTTAAGCAGGTCTTGGTTGAGTTCATAGAGCTGAGGGAGGGAGTACAAGATCTGATTGAGGATACGCTCCTCAATCACAGGCTTGCCGTTCTGCTGAGATGCTTTTTGCACTGCTTCACGGAAGTCCTGTAGGTCAGAGACACCGATTACATCAAATCCAGCGATTGACACAAAACAACCACAGACAGAATGGCTCCAGCTGTAGTTTTGATTCCCATGATTGAACTTCCTGCAAAAACCATATGGCTTAAAATAATGACTTGCATAAACTAAAGGTTTATAACTAAAGAGGAACTCTTCTGTCTCATGGTATATTTCTTAACCTAGTGCTCACCACTTCCCAAAAACTATGAATCAGGACTGAGAGGAGAGACTAGAGCACCCTCTAAACAAATCTTTCAGATGATGTAGACTTTATGCGGTTTATGAGCAGTTGGAAAATAAAACCGCTCGAAGTCAAAGGGCCAAACAAATACCTCCTGTGCTGAATCTTTTTTTTTTGCTACAAATGCTGATGCAGAAAAAGGTTGAATAACATGGAAAAGATGTGGCAGCAAATTAGAAAGGGATGACTCTGCAGACAGTACAGATATCCAAGAATAAATCATCCTGATAAAACCCAGTGTAGCCCATAACAAGGCGAACAAACTGCTGCGATGTTAGGTTTGGTGATTTGATTTTCCAAATATTGTTTGAGGGATCTGAATACTGGCTGTTCTGCATTACTGTACACCCTTCCTCCAAAGACAGCTGGGACTAAACCACTTCCTGTTCATGCCTTTATCATTCAGTCCAACTATGCTCTCACTTCTTGACCCAAATGTCTTTATTTGTTAAAACTACTTCTGCAGCTGCACATATCTTTTCCAAAAGAAGGATGTAAAAAAAAAAACTGCGCTAAAAAACTTTTAATAAATGATTATGTTATCAGATTTTGTACCCTTTCTACTTTTAATTTAGTTCTGACCCATGTGCATGAACCAATGCAAAAATTATATTTATTTTCAATTAATTATTTAGGCTAACAATATATACACACATACATATACATATACATATATACATATACATATGTGTGTATATATATATATATATATATATATATATATATATATATATATATACACACACACATATATATACACACACATATATATATATATATATATATATATATATATATATGGTTGAAGCAACAGAGACCACAAGAGAGACCAATGACCAAAGACAAAAAGATGATAACGATTTTCTTTTGCATCAGTTTCTGTAAGTAGTTTGCTTATAATGAGCAAGCACATGATGAATGATGGCATGATGCATATGTTCATATCTTAAATCTTACGGGTAGATTTGTTTCGCTTTTAAGCCTTACCTGATTTTAAAAAGTATTACATTTTTCAAAAGTGCTTGAAATCAAAATTTACAAGCAAATGAAAGTTGTAGTGACATTCTCATGTGCAATAACATAGTTTAGACTTAAACATGCATTTTTCCCAAAAGGATTTGGATAATGCAGCATTAGTGATGCAGCTGCAGCATTAATGATACTGTTAGCATATGAGCATTTGGTTAGCAGACATATGTCACAATTTAGTTTTTGTTCCTTTTTTTATTCATTAAAACCTGTTTTATGTGTTAATTTACTTGTAAAGTTTGGTTTTAAGCTATTTTTAGATAAATTCATAATTTTGTTCATCAGAGAAAACAAATCTAGCATTAAGATTTACAATGTGAAGGTAGAAGGTAGGGATTACCTGTCTGTCAACATACAGGTGCTGGTCATAAAATTAGAATATCATGAAAAAGTAGATTGATTTCAGTAATTCCATTTAAAAAGTGAAACTTGTATATTATATTCATACATTACATACAAACTCATATATTTCAGATGTTTATTTTGTTTAATTTTGATGATTACAAATGACAACAAATGAAAATCTCAAATTCATCATATCAGAAAATTAGAATATTGTGAAAAGGTTCAAAATTGATGGCCCCTGGTGCCACACTCTAATCAGCTAATTAACTCAAACCACCTGCAAAAGCCTTTAAATGGTCTTTCAGTCTAGTTCTATAGGCTACACAATCATGGGGAAGACTGCTGACTTGACAGTTGTCCAAAAGACGACCATCGACACCTTGCACAAGGAGGGCAAGACACAAAAGGTCATCGCTAAAGAGGCTGGCTGTTCACAGAGCTCAGTGTCCAAGCACATTAATAGAGAGGCGAAGGGAAGGAAAAGATGTGGTCGAAAAAAGTGTACAAGCAAGAGAGATAACCGCACCCTGGAGAGGATTGTGAAACAAAACCCATTCAAAAATGTGGGGGAGATTCACAAAGAGTGGACTGCAGCTGGAGTGAGTGCTTCAAGAACCACCACACACAGACGTATGAAAGACATGGGTTTCTGCTGTCGCATTCCTTGTGTCAAGCCACTCTTGAACCACAGACAGCGTCAGAAGCGTCTTGCCTGGGCTAAAGAGAAACAGGACTGGACTGCTGGTGAGTGGTCCAAAGTCATGTTCTCTGATGAAAGTAAATTTTGCATTTCCTTTGGAAATCAAAGTCCCAGAGTCTGGAGGAAAAGAAGAGAGGCACTTCATCCACGTTGCTTGAAGTCCAGTGTAAAGTTTCCACAGTCAGTGATGGTTTGGGGTGCCATGTCATCTGCTGGTGTTGGTCCATTGTGTTTTCTGAGGTCCAGGGTCAACGCAGCCACATACCAGGAAGTTTTAGAGCACTTCATGCTTCCTGCAGCTGACCAACTTTTTGGAGATGCAGATTTCATTTTCCAACAGGACTTGGCACCTGCACACAGTGCCAAAGCTACCAGTACCTGGTTGAAGGACCATGGTATCCCTGTTCTTAATTGGCCAGCAAACTCTCCTGACCTTAACCCCATAGAAAATCTATGGGGTATTGTGAAGAAGAAGATGCAATACACCAGACCCAACAATTCAGAAGAGCTAAAAGCCACTATTAGAGCAACCTGGGCTATCATAACACCTGAGCAGTGCCACAGACTGATCGACTCCATGCCACGCCGCATTGCTGCAGTAATACAGGCCAAAGGAGGCCCAACTAAATACTGAGTGCTGTACATGCTCATACTTTTCATGTTCATACTTTTCAGTTGGCCAACATTTCTATAAATCCTTTGTTTTTATTGGTCTTCAGTAATATTCTAATTTTCTGATATGATGAATTTGAGATTTTCATTTGTTGTCATTTGTAATCATCAAAATTAAACAAAATAAACATCTGAAATATATGAGTTTGTATGTAATGTATGAATATAATATACAAGTTTCACTTTTTAAATGGAATTACTGAAATCAATCTACTTTTTCATGATATTCTGATTTTATGACCAGCACCTGTATGTATCATGCCTCATGTGCTTTGTCATGTGAGCAAACTACTTACAGTAACTGATGCAAAAGAAAATATTAATAATCTTTTTGTTTTATGTTACATTGCTCCAAGGTTGAGAAGAGAGGGTTTATGGGTCTAAATTCATTCCTTCCACAGAGTCCGGAGAACACAGGGAGGAATGTGGTAAAAAAAAAAAAAATTTTATTAAATAAATAAAAAAACTTGCTCAGGGTGTTCCCCATGTCTTCATTAAGGAAATACATCTGGAGAAAACGAGCCGAGGCAAAGGAGAGGCACTTAGTCTAACAAATAGAAACACATCAGACCCTTCTATTGTCACAGCAAAAACATGGGTAGTTTTATGTGATCACAAAAGCTATTTAGGTTTCATGTGTGGTTACTTACAACATGTAGCAGCTTCAGGACATCAACAAAACTACAAGAAACGAAAATGGAGAAAAAATTAAGACCACAAAGAGACATATCTCCTAACTTAAAAGCTTGATGCAACAGTTATAGCAGAATCATTTTCAGCTTCTTTAAAATGGTTCCTCTAATGACCACAAACTGTATGTTACTTGGATTTTATGTAATTGATCCAATAATATTGGGATAATCTGGAATATAAAAATCTGAAAAGAGTGGCTTGTGTGTTTTTTATTCAGGGTACTCTTTTTTTTTCTTCTTTGCTGGAACATCAAATCATCCCATTAATTCAAGTGTACGCCTCTTGCTGTTTATTCCAACTCTACATATCTAGAGACCGCAATGAAGTTGAAGCTTAGTCAAAATAGACACAAAATTTTAGGTATTCTTCACAAATTCTCAGTTGTATATAGATCTGTGAGTGACTGGGCCATTCTAACAAACCTTCAGCCATTCCATCACAGCTCAGGCTAAAAATTAAGGGTTGTTATCCTTAATAGAACTCAAGTCTTCTGCAGCATCTAAGCAGGGTTCCTTTTAGGACTGGCTTGTATTTACTTCCATCCATCTGCTCAGGATGACATGCAGTGTTGGTTTTTATAACAGGGGGAGTTTTGGCATAGTGGGTTAGAGCTCTCAGAGGTTCCAAGTACCCGGTTCGAATCCCACTGCCTCCAATCTGGGTTCCTGAGCAAGACTTAACCCCCGATTGCTCTCCGGGTGCCGCATAATGGCAGCCCATTGCAGAGGTAAATTTCTCCAATTTGAGATCAATAAAGTTCAATTAGATGGTTGCATGTATGCAAAAAAATATATAAATTTGGCCCAAATACAATAGCATAGCAGTTTTGATGCCATTGCATCACTTATAACAAGCTCTAAAACCTTGTTTCTAATAGCTTTGTTTTTCAAACATCAGTCAGTTAATATGGACATCCATACCTTGGTAGATTTTTAGTTCTGTGTAATTTCAGATTAAGTGCACTTAATGCTCTTTTTCATGCTGTTTGTTCACTAGCATTCTCTATCAAACCTCTGAGGCCTTTACAAGACATCTGTGACTAGTTGCAACAAATTTAATTCAAGGGTATTAAAGGGTACTTCAGAACCAGGCCACACTTTTCAGATTTGTCCTGGATAAAAAAAAAAAAAGCCATGTATCATCTTTTAAATTCACAATTATGTGCTACTTTGAGTTGGTCTGCTACATAAAAAATATAATAATACATTTAATAGAGGTTTAAGGGATATCAAGGCCTTTACAAGGAACTGAATAAGCTAGAAAGCATATCAGTAGGAGAAAAAAAAAATCCACTCTTACACACTCTCTGAGGTCATGATTTCTGTGGCGATGTGTTCTATCTTAGTTTTCTGTTTTCCATTCTCCAGCTAAAAAAAAAATGCAGAACAAGACTGTGAATCAGCAGACATACCACATGTCTGTGGGACAGCAGCATTAGATATGCTGCAGTGTTAGGGACGACAAATAGTAGAAAGGATGAGCAAAGGTCTGATCCTCACCCCAATCTCTGGATGCTCAAAGTCTTCTTTACATGAGTTGAAGCTGCTGTCATCTTCATCTGACGAGTTGACATCAAACTCATCGTCAGAGAGAGTCTCATTGTTAAAAATGTACTCCTCGTCCGCTAAATTTCTGCGAGAAGAATGCATGGATGAAAAAAAAGACCTATGTATGTGCAACGCAAAAACATCTAAACATGTTAAAGGCAAACAGGAAAGAAACCAGATTTCTCTGAGATAAGATGGAGGTTTAAAAGGAAAACAGTCACCTAAGCACAATATCTGATCATTTGGCCACATAAATAGAAAGTTTCATCAATTAACATTTCCTGCTTTATTGGAAACTCAGTTTTACTTCAGTGTAAACTCGGCACGCAACGAATAACCTAAATCCAGCTTCTTGTATAGAGTCAGAGAGCCCTAATTTATCAACATACTGCCAAACCCAAAAGGTGACAAAAGTTACAAACCATGAAAAAGATCAGTCATCTTGCAACTTTAACAGATTAAAGTGGAAAAACAACTTTAAGATGCAACTTTTGTGAGAAAAATTCCCCCTATTCCCCGAAGGGAAGTGGTGCGTGTAAAGCAGCCTGCACCACCCTTAAAAAACAAAGGCAGAAAAGCATTACAGCAGAACGGTGCAAGAATTATATCATAACTTATCTCTGTTTTAGCTTTGTACTGAACTGTGAGCATATCTCTGTTTTTAGATCTGCTCTGAGTGCCTTTTAGGATGCATCTGTTACTCTGTTTGAGCCACATAAGAAGAGGCCAATTTAGCCACACAAAGCTTAGACCCAACATGTGTTTAGTCTAAAAAAGAATTCATGTAATTATTCTTAGCAAACTACTAACATATATAGAGAAGCAGTAAAAAGGATACTAATAATAACACCAACAGAACTGGCTGAAAGTTTTATTGACAAATCTTCACTCCTTTAATAGAGATTTTTTAACAAATAAATTTTCTCCTACAGGCAGCCTTCACAATAACTAAAAGCATGAATAAAATAAATCCCTCTTTTTGCTGCAAATATTAAAGCTTGATGCTTAGAAATGAATTTATCTCCCAAATTTTGTCCTCGAGCTTCGTCTGTCATTGCCTTGCATGAGGAAGTGCCTGTTTGAAGCTTTTTGTTGAAATAGTTTCAATAATTAAATAGCAAGCTCACTGGTTTTTCCCATTTTGAACGTTGCCTTTTATACATGTACCTCTGTGTGACATCACATCCACCCCAGGAAACAAAAACATTACTAATAAAGACTCTCTTCCCAATATTTAAAGTTAAATATTTTTACAGCTTTGGTCAGATAACTTGCATATTGTTAGAGGTTCTAATAATGGTTCAAACAGCCATTTTTGTTAACAAAAAAAAAAAAAAAAACAGCATCACTTTTTCCTCACTGAATAAATGTAAGTAAATTAACAATTGGACTATTTTTAGTGGGATTTTACCGTCCTGTAGTGTGTTAAGCTTCTAACACCTTTATACAAAGAGTCCTAAATGTGGAAGACATTGATGACTTCTGCATGGTTTATTTATTGAACTGTAATTTTTTACCTTCCTATTACCTACCTCTGCTTTCATTTTAGATGTTCAACAAAACTGCTAGAAATCCTGGTACTGAATGAACAGATCCTAAGAACTAAAGATCGATTTTAAACCGTTTTTATTTAGCTAACACTCTTTAAACACTTGGCTTTTAGAAAATCCGGTCACTTTAAAAATAGAGTTGTACATCTGATATACACTACCGTTAAAAAGTTTGGGGTCACATTGAAATGTCCTTATTTTTGAATTTTGGGGACCTGTGAGGTGTCTGTTTCTCAAACTAGAGACTCTAATGTACTTATCTTCTTGCTCAGTTGTGTAACGCGGCCTCCCACTTCTTTTTCTACTCTGGTTAGAGCCTGTTTGTTTTCTGAAGGGAGCAGTACACACCGTTGTAGGAAATCTTCAATTTCTTAGCAATTTCTCGCATGGAATAGCCTTCATTTCTAAGAACAAGAATAGACTGTCGAGTTTCAGAGGAAAGTTCTCTTTTTCTGGCCATTTTTTAGCGTTTAATTGACCTCACAAATGTGATAATACAGAAACTCAATCTGCTCAAAGGAAGGTCCGTTTTGTAGCTTCTGTAACGAGCTAAACTATTTTCAGATGTGTGAACATGTTGCACAAGGGTTTTCTAATCATCAATTAGCCTTCTGAGCCAATGAGCAAACACATTGTACCATTAGAACACTGGAGTGATAGTTGCTGGAAATGGGCCTCTATACACCTATGTAGATATTGCACCAAAAACCAGACATTTGCAGCTAGAATAGTCATTTACCACATTAGCAATGTATAGAGTGTATTTCTTTAAAGTTAAGAATAGTTTAAAGTTATCATCCTCGGAAAGTACAGTGCTTTTCCTTCAAAAATTCACATTTCAATGTGACCCCAAACTTTTGAACGGTAGTGTATTTCAGTCAGTTTTTAAGCTGAATAACAGGAAAGAATGAGCTTCTATCCTGATCAGTAACTGGTTGCTTTTTGTGGCTTCAAGTATCATCTTTGTAAAGGTTTCTGTGACACTAGTGGGCTTTATTTCACAATTTAGGGCATAAGATGCCTCCTCTATTCATTGCACTATGTAGCGTTCCTGTTGTCCCACTTTTGGCCCTACAGATCACAGCACGGCTTTACAGCATTTGAACTCAACCTGTTAGCAGCTTATTTAAAATCTTAAGTGTATTTTGATGAAAAAACATCGACCGTGAAAAATATCCCTCTGACTCCCTCTGAGTGTGCACCTAAGAGGTCAATAAATACTATGTAGATTATGTGGGTTGCCTTCTTCATAAAAACTAAAAATGTTATTTGCACAGCTGGAGACTTTGCTCACCATATTTTCAAAAAGTGGATTTTCTTATGTAGATGTAAGACATTAATTCTATCAGAGTCGAGTAACATCTTAGAGATGCATTCCTCAGAATCTGCTCTTTAAGGTAAAAATATACTGGAATTCAGCCTGGTATACATAAGGGCTCTTCATTTAATGTGCTTTTACACCATGTTTTTTCTCCCACAATGTTTACATTTGATCACTGCTGTACTTTACGGAATGTTCATTTCATGTCACTGCTAAGCTGCTGCTCACTCACTATCTAAAAGCTGCACAAACCGAATTTTCATTTTATCTACACACTGTGTAGACAAAATCACAATAAAAGTTGTCTAACTCTAAAGTGCATACAAAACACACAACCACTTAATTCTGCTTGACATTCAGTTGTCCATCGTTGTATTATCACATAATTAATCCACACAAGTTTAAAGCCAACATACCACTTATATCCTTTTTTTCTTTTTGGTAATATAAAATACAGTATTTTAAATGTAATTCTTTACATCTATTTAAGGTTATAGTGTTTTTTTAAGGACCACCTGAAGGACCACCTTTAATCCCCCTCGTGCTCTAGCCTTATAGCTCTACCATCATCAACTAGAGGGATGCTAACAAAAAAAAAAAAACTTTTCTGAAATATACAAACAAGGTTAGATATTTCATAGTCAAGAATCACTACAAAGTAAGAGATCTGATATTGTATGCTTGATTATACTTAATTTTTTGTAAAGTTGACCTGAATTGTTCATAACTTGGGCAATAAAGCTAACAGAGTTAGAAATTGTAATTAATCAGGCGTTTTGCTAACCTGACTCCGCCAGATGGATTTGCTCCGCATATCCATCTGGAAACCTTCCGTTGAAGTAATTTTGGGAAGGGGCGAAAATACTGGTTAGCTGATTGGCCTATGTTGGTGATAGACGGGCCAAATAAACCAATCAGATCAACGAAGCATATGACGTACTAACAGAGTGACAACGAAGAGGAGCCAATTGACAGATCAAACTCTTGCCGAAACCAGTTGGGAGAAGAGCAAAAACATCTTTTCCTCTGAGAAAAGCCTCCAGAGCAGTGTTTTGCTCTTCTTTCAGTGAAGAAATACTCTGTAATTCCGATAAAACTTGCTCGATAGCCACTCTAACGCTAGTTTCATCGGCTGAAGCCGCCATGTTCTTTAGACCGAACTGTCGCCCTTCTCGTTGCGTCACACCTCAACCCGCCTCAAAGCCAACGCTGATTGGACGTTCGTTTGGTGAACGGCTCCAAATTTTTTTTTACGGAGAGTCTCCAGACTGATTAGCGAGTGAAACCTTGAAAGCTCGCGAGATCAGGATGGTCTGACGAGGCTAGCGTTTTGCAGGTGAAATAGAGACTCTTTAGTAACATCATGCAGCACACACTAAGAAATATAACTGGAATTAAGCCTACCTTTTATATCCTGTTGGTGTCAGATGCTGTTGCTCTTTAACCAAGGAGAAATAAGGGTCATGCTCTTCATAAATCCCTTCATCATCATTCTGAGGGCTCTGCCACCCCTCTGGGTCGAAAACCGGATAAGGAGAGACGGGCTTTCCAAAATCTATGTTTTCATAATCCGGACTATCAAAATGAAGGGGAATAGTGTGATAGATGGGAGACTGCGGGGGTTCCTGGTAAATCTCATCTCCGTCAACGCTCTGTTCAACACCAGCTTGGGAAAAACGGATGTTATCATCAATACCCATATGGTCTGGACTGCTGGGGTGAGTAAACTCTTCCCTGTGAGGATGTGATATGGAATAATTCGCAGTGGTTTCAGAAGTCTGGCCTGATTTTGTCGTCTTCTTCTGTAATGTCTTTTTGTGGAGCTTCAGTTCTAAGATTTTCCTGAAGGCTTTTCCCTTCTGTCCGTCAGAGTGAATGAGGTCCGCAGAAGAAAAGGATTTGGATTTCTTTTTGTTGAGGCTAGTACGAGAAGGGTTGAGGCTTTCAGGTTTTGCAGGTTTATTGTCTGATTTCAGGTGAGGAGGCAAAGGCAGCTCCCTTTTCATCAGTTCCTTCGATTTCCCATCTTTGACTATATTGGCTTGCCTTGCTTCAAAGTTTTCCAGTTTCTTCAAGCCTTTATCCTCATGGAATCCCAATGTGCTGTTGTTTCTCAGAAGTTTCCTTGGCGTTTTGTTTTTAATCCCTCTGTCCTCTGCTTTCACAAACATCTTTGGAACATCCTTGGGTATAGGTGGATTAAGTGTAGTGTCCAAAGGCAGCTGATCCCTGTCTTCCTGATTATCCACAACCTTCTTCGGCAACACTTCCATGCCACTATCCACACATAACTCCATCTCATGGATGCTGTTGCTCCTACCTAAATCTTCAGAGTCCATGTCCTCAGATGGAGCTGGTGTAGTAGACAAAGGGGGTTTTAAGGGGTTAGATAAAGGTTTTTTTCTGGAAGGAGGGACCGGTGGTGGACAGGCCTGCCTTGCAGACTGAATAACCGCTCTATTGTTATTAACAGGTATGCTGACAGATGGGGATGACCATCCCTTTCCATCTGATGACATCTCCACCTCCTGCAGACTTACTTCCATGCTTTCCTGGATGGCAGTTTCATCCCTATCCCTCTCCACCTTTTCCTGACTGAATGGTGCATTAGTCCTGGGTTTCCTTGGAACAGGGACAGGGTGAGGCTTCCTAAGGCCTGGTGGGGGACGTTTGGGTGGTTGCACACTGGTTCGCTCTGAGCCAAGGCTAACACCCTGTTGTCCTGTTCCAGGTACATCTTGCCCCAATGTTCTCTGAGATGGCCCAACAGGCTTTTCATCACTAACGGTGTCAGAGTCTGTTTTGTGGCTTTGGGTCTTATTAAACTTTTCATAATTAATGATACGACCATTATTTGAAGTGTTGTTCATCACTTGGATGTTATCCTTAGGTATAGGAGGAGTGTTTTTGTTCTCTACCATTTTGCTACGTTGTGGTGCTTCAAAGTCTTTTTCTCTCTGCTCGAGCTTCGTCTTGTTCATGCATGTGCAGTTTTCTTGAGCACACAGGCAAATAGGAATGATATAATCCCATTCAGGCTTTTTGTTTTGGGAAAATCCATTGGGGGGTTTTTGCTGCTTCAGAATCGGGGGCCTGGATTCTAAAGGAGTTGGGAATTTAGACAAGATTGGCTTTGGAGCAATTGCTGGTTTAACCTTCTTTGGTGTGCCAGGTGAGAGACGCGAGAGGCCGTCTCTTCTAGGGACTAAAGGAGACCGGACAGGCCTCTGGTGGGAAATGAACTTCGGCTTAGGAGCAATAGGTGGCTTATCCATGCCTGGGGGCAGAAAAAATGGGAACTTGAATTAAAGGAAAGGAAACAGCATCAAAGAATAACATAAATAGAGAGAAATATGCAAATACTGTAGACAAGGAGGGAGATTTTGCAGATAAATTTACCTTGCAAAATCAGTGTTACAACTCCCTACCAAAAGTTTTACATAAAGGTACATTTTCAGCGTTTTTATTTTATATTATGGACTGCAAATATTTAGGTTTGGTTTCAAACAATGAACACGTTAGAAGCAAAAACATTTCAGATTTTATTCTACAACTCAGTATGTAGCTTTATCTGTAATGGTACCTAACATGTTTAGGTAAAGACAAAAGTATTGGAAAATGGATGTTGTTACCTAAATGTGTCCTTTTATATCAATTGTGAAACAATAAGAGCTCTAAATGTCTTCTCTCAGTTATAGCTTTCTTATGGAGACTAAATTTAACTATGAGTCCATAAATACATTTTTATAGTATTATCCACCTGTATATTATATTCAGTACATATCCAGCTGTAAATTTAGTTCACACTAGTGATCTATATATTATATTCATTATTTATAATAGTATTCACCTCTATACTCATTAAGTAGAAACCCATGTCCTGTATTTATGGAACCATTATTTATCCTGCACTTGCTGCTATTGCACTTCTGGTTAGACCTAAACTGCATTTCGTTGCCTTGTACCTGTACCTGTGTAATGACAATAAAGTTGAATCTAATCTAATCTAATAAATAAAAATGAAGAAATAACATTCGCAATACCTGGTATTTGCTTAAAGTATCCTTAAGAAGAAAGAAAACACTTGTTTACAAACAAGTAAAAAAAAAAAAAGTTAAAATAAGAATCCATTGGACTTTGTTTCCAAGTTTGAAGACGTTTTACTTCCCATCCAGGAAGCTTTTTCAATTCAAAATGAAAAAAAAAAGAAGCTTCCAGGATGGGAAGTAAAACGTCTTCAAACTTGGAAACAAAGTCCAGCGGATTTGTTTTTTTGGAATAACAGAGACATTGAAACGGGTAGATCAAACAACAACAGTTGACAACAGAAAAACTGTGGGAAAAAAAGTCCTTAAAGGAATAGTACACCCAAAACATGATTAGCCTTCATTTTCTACTCACCCCCATGCTGAACAACACTCTGGAGTACTTTTTTGATATCTCAAATGCATCTGGAGATCTGGGAGGCTTCTTGCTGTCTGCTGACATTCAAATAATGGAGGTCTATGGTGCCCGAGACAGAAAGGTCCATAAAAGTCCACAAAAAAAACGTGTCAATATTCCTCCATACTGCTCGTCCAATGTATTCCAAGTGTCCTGAGTGGGTAGCGTCCAGAATTTACTCGAAATGAAGTCATTTAGAATGTTTTTAGAGCATAAACAGTAGTGTATAGGATTTCCTAAAAGCGCGTTCACGAGCCTACGGAAACCGTGGCAGACCAAACCAGATGAAAGTGCGCATTCAGCTCGGCAAAGAACTCATGCTCTTCCTCAACACTGAAGTCCTCAGACATTTTTCTTTCGTTGTTTCTTTCTTTGCACAGGTAAACAGCAAAATTCTTCTTCTACGCTTATGTTAGCAAGAGCAGACGCTGAATGCGCACTTTCATCTGGTTTGGTCTGCCGCAGTTTCCGTAGACTCGTGAACTCGCAGGCGCGCGCTTTTAGGAAATCCTATACACTACTGTTTATGCTCTAAAAACATTCTAAATGACTTTGTTTGTAAATTATGGATGCTACCAACTCAGGACACTTGGAATACATTGGATGAGCAGTATGAAGGAATATTGACACATTTTTTGTGGACTTTTATGGACCTTTCTGCCTCGGGCGCCATAGACCTCCATTATTTGAATGTCAGCAGACAGCAAGAAGCCTCCCAGAGCTCCAGATGCATTGAGATATCAAAAAAGTACTCCAGAGTGTTGTTCAGCATGGGGGTGAGTAGAAAATGAAGGCTAATCATGTTTTGGGTGTACTATTCCTTTAAAACAGTGAATGCATCACCAAAAACACGATCCAAAAGCAATAAAGATCCTAAACTGCTAGAAGTGGAAGGTCTTGAATGGGCCCAGGAAATCTATAGACTTAAATCCCCCAGCGCAGATATTTTATATGCTAATGAGAGACCGGAGGGGTCTAACCCCACAGGAAGCAATAAATAAAAGAGATTTGATGCAGTTATTTCAAAGCAAAATGACTTAAAACCAGGCATAAAGTATAAACCACTTCAATTTATAAAAGGTTTAATAGTTTCTGTTAATTTCTCCAGCGAATAAGTTAAGATTTGTTGTTTCATAAAAATGTTTTCATCTAAGTTGTGTGTAAGATCCAGATGTAAATACCTCTTACTATTCACCCTCTCATGTCAGACCCAAATGCAAAAACAAACAGAACACTGGCCTCAGTGCACATTTCATAAATCTGCTAATCCTAACCTCTAAAGAATTTTATGTACTGTACAAACAACCTAAAGGGATCCTATGAAGGGGGTTTAAATGTCACATGGCTTTGTTTTGCCACTCCATGCCACAGCCCAGTAATCCCACTTAGGGCTTGTGTCAACAGGCAAAAGAGGAGGAGGATGGGGTGGGAGATGAATCAAGCTGAAGAGGAAGGGGTGCTGGGTGTGATGAAACAAACTTGAACATTTGGCTGAACTATTGTACCAGAATCATCTCTACAGGGAGGAAAAACAATCAACCACACTGACAGAAAGGGATGTAGATGTCTGAGAGTTCCCTCTTTGCAAAAACACAATGTGAACAGCTGAAAGAGCGAGAATTAATACAGGGGATATTCTTTAATCTGCAGGTTTTATATTCTGTAGGTAGTGAAATTAAAAAAATAAATACAGCAAATTGTTTTGCATCATTCTAAGAGTGTATTCCAAAAAAGAAAAAAGAAAAAAATCTACTGGACTTTGTTTCCAAGATTGTTTTTAAACAAGGTATATTTTTTTTTCTATATTAGGAATGACTATGACCTGACTGAGAATCTACACCATTATATCCAACTAAAGTGATCTATACTGTGTAAAAAATTAACTTCTGGGTATTTTTTTATTTATTTTATTTCTCAATAGAAGTCAAATTAAATACACAAATTATCTTTTCGGATAATAAATCAGCTCAGCGGGGACAGCTGTAACAAGCAAACCGTCAACCAATAAGAAGTTACTTACCTGGGTTCATCTTCTCTTCATTCGCTTCGCTTAAAAAATCTAAACTGTGGCGCAAAATAATTCCTTCATGTCCGGGAAAACGTCCCAGTCGCTCAAGGGGAGATAACCGAGTGAAAAGCAGTCATTTTCTGGATCAAACAGCTCTCAGCTCAGTGGATCGGAGTCGCTCCTTCACCTGAGCCGCGTCAGAACTAAACCCTTCCTAGTTTCCCTTCACCGTCCACTAGGGGGCCTCAGAGGGCGCAACATTTAGTATCAACCTAAACAGAAGGTGGCTTCAGATTAGATGGAAACTGAGTCACTATGAAACTGAAACGTAAAGGAAATAAAAGAAAAAAAAAACTTTTAGAGTATGTTTTTGTAAACCACAAACTAATCCTTGTGATAAAAGCTACATGGTGAACTTTCATACATCTTATTGTTTTTGTAAATTTCCATTCACATATCTTTCCACGTAGATCATCAGTTCTAATATTAACTTTCATGTGACTAAGAAGACAAAAATATGATTGGAATTAGAATGACAAGCCTCATATTCATCTTACATGCCAAATGACAACAAAGTAAAGAGGAAGTTAAAGTCTACCAACTTCTCTTCCCTGCAGTGCTTTCATCATGATGTATCTGTCAGCAGGCGCAGCAGTTTAACAACTTACAGGAAAATGAAAGGTGGTAAGAAGAGAGTGTAAGATATTTGTACTTTCTTTTAATAGATCTGCTTAACATGAAATAAAACATTAGTCTTTTTTTGTTGGGACTGTATGTGAACTAAAAACAAAACGCACCACCTAATTATAAAAACAGAAAAACATTGGGGAACAGTTTTCAGCCTTTTCACACAAAAACATTTCATTGGCCATTAGCTTCTGCTTTCCGCTTTCCAGTAAATTATCTAATATGTAGAATACGCTGTAAATAGTTTTCCTAGGAACCCATTCTCCCATTTGAGCTGTGCAGCTCCTCCAGAGTTAGACGTAGTCTCTGACAGGTGTCAAAAGTATTAATATTTATTACTCAAGTAGAAGTATAAATCCCACTTTTTGTAGAAGTTAGAACAACAACTTAAGCTTTTTACTCAAGTAAAAGTATAAAAGTAGCATTTTTAAAACTACTTAAAGTATAAAAGTAAAAGTAATGAAGGAAAAAAATATTAAGGACAGTTAAACTTTATTTTTTCATTATTATTATTTTATTTTTTAACAATGTCCTGTCTGGCGATGTGGCTATAAGAATAACTGTCTTGATGCCAAAAAGAGCCCAACAGATTTTACTTTCACAAGTGGAGCAGTACGGCTATCGCCATAGTGTTCCGCTTCATTTCTCCATATAAATAGCTTTATTATAATTCATGCAGGGAGTATTACAGATTGTATGGACACTGCAATGTAAGGAGAACAGGGAAGGAAAAACTGGAAAAAAGGAAAAAAGATGAAAGAAAGACGAGATAAAGGGGGAGAAAGTTATTCAACATCTTCAGTCTGCTTCATCACCTGCAAAGAGATGTAAAAAGAACAGCACAACGAGCAGATATAGTATAAGAGATTCAATAATGTAAAACCTTCATACCATCACTTTAGTATAAGTAGTATTATTTAATCTAAAGATAAGAATGTGGGTTTTCTGTATGAAAGTGAATCTCTAAGTACCTGGAGCCAAGCACCTGTAGTTGTTAGCACTACTGCATGTAAAGTTTATTTCAAAAGAAAAATGCTCAATAGTGGTTGTGAAGAGCCGAAGAAGTGCCCCTTCTTGAATAAAGACTTGATTAAAATTTGTTTTCTTAGGAAGGAAACGGTGTAAGATTTAACTTTACATCATCTTGAAAAACTATCTATTTTGGTATGTGGTGAAAAACAAGTTGGGGCAGCACCGAGTCCAACCGCAAAGAAATTAATCATCTGGATGAAACAAATTATTATTATTTTTTTTAAATACCAACCGGCCGTAATGAAAATGAGCTTAAATGAAAGAAAACTAACAAGTCTATTTTTAGAACGTAAGAAGTAGAAAGTAGAGATAATTGCCAATAAATGTAAGGAGTAAAAGTAAAATGTTGTCATAAAAATAATTACTCCAGAAAAGTATAGAGAGACAAAACTTCTACTTAAGTAAAGTAACGAAGTATTTGTACTTTGTTACTTGACACCTCTGGTCTCTGAGCTAATCTACACTCTTTTGATTTTAAACAACAAATGTAGAAGATAAACATAAAATAAAATAAGGATACACCCTTCAATCCGGATGAGTAACTCTAACAAAAGCATTTGTAGAAGATATAAAACATCATTGGAAACAAAGATATAGATGGAAAAGCAGCATGTGGGATTTGCATAAACTGCAGCCTGTGGCGGGGTCGTCAGTAAAATAGGCTGGTGGTGTTTTATATGTGTATGTGTGTGATCTGGTGTCTGAAGAAGTTTTGGATAGCACAGCTTAAAAATCTAATCTCCAATTTTTTTCCTACCAAGTCTGATTAGTTAAATCGTTTTTTTTACTGTTAGTTTCATGATAAGAAATGACAAATGATGTCCATTACTTTCAAAAACTAGCTTTTTATCAATCATCCCCTCTGGGCAGTGAACTCAAGCTGTGAAACATGTACAACTAACTAGAGACAGACTGATACAGCCGGCAGATATTTTAGCTGATATAACCATTTTTGTCTTGTGTCGGTATCAGCAGATGGCATTCAGCAATTATGTTTTTAGATCAAGTAAAATAAAATGTATGCTCGGAGTAGAGTCCATATTGAGAGGAATTATGAGCTCCATCAGGAGGTTTTTCCAGGCACATTCCACCAGGAGGAGGCCCAGAGGATGATCAGGATACGCTGGAGGGACAATGTCTGTCGGCTGGCCTGGGGGGAACCTCTGGCTTCCCCCAGTAGAGCTGGAGGATGTTTCTGGGGAGGGGGAAGTCTGGGATTCTCTACTGAGACTTCTGCCCCTGTGACTCGGTCCTGGATGAAGGGGGAAACGACAATGATTACTATTTTAAAGTCATTTTGCACTGGGTTTTAAATTTCTTGTAGTGTTTTGCCAATGGAAGTGGTTTAAATATTGCCCTGCCCGGATGGATGGGATTCATGGCAACTTCATATCTTCCTCGCTGACCAATTTGTTGTGTTTCTTGCTTTTCTTGATACTGTTTGTTCCTCAGTACAGATCTGTTTATTTTAACTTCAAAAAAGACATAAACAAAAAAGTTTTCAATTAAAAACAAAATACATAGAGATGTTTAATGGTCATAAATACTTTTACAAAAGCACGGTAAGATTGTAAGACGTTAACTGTGATGTAAATCTTCTCTAATTAGAAGTAGCGTCAACATGATCAGCAAATGAAAAAGCTTTCAGACTGCAAAAGAAAACTGGCTCAACAGCAAAACATGCTTTTTTTTGGAGCGGTGGCTAACAAACCTTTATTCTTGTTCATAAAAAGAGAAGAGGAGGACGCAGGGTTATTATGCAATATCTTAACTAGTTTACCCTTAAATTCAAAACAATAAAAACCTAAAAACTAACTCTATAAAACAGGAGAAATTAGAAACTACTAAAAATGTTTTATATGTATTCAAATCAAGCGTATTTTTCCCTTTTCTAACCATGCAAAGGTAATTTCTTATTCCTAAAATTAAGATATATAAATAAGACTTTTATCATATATATAAAATTTTTATTAGAAAAAAACTTAATTGAACCTGCTTGAACCTTTAATCCATTATAAGCAAAACAGAGTAGCTTAGAGATAAATATGTTATATGTCTTCTCAGAAATTTGAATAATGCAGTGAGAGGAACTGAATAGCGTCTAAAACAATTGATGTTGCTTTGGTTCTTCTTTCGTCTTGTTCTTCCTCAGAAATAGTCTGCATTGTGTCACATCCTGCTGCTTCTGATGCAATTTATACTTCTGTGGTTGCGGGAGGTTTTACGTCACTGTGGTGATCATAAAAAACTCTAGTATTGATCAAAAAGTCATGTGTTTTCGACCTTTTTCTTTTTATTAATAGCTTTAACTGACATGATGCCACATTTCCTCAGCAGTTCTTTGAAACTAATGACTAACTGGAGTGACTCTGTTGCAGCCAATCAGAAGGAACCCTGCAGTTATACCTGGAGTTTTGGTCTGTAGGGAGACTCAAACCCAGTCTGTGTTCTTTCCTGCTTCTGCAAATTTGCGTCTGAAGATCCTTGACAGAGAAGCTGTCATCACTGAACAAGTGGCTCGAAAACAGCAGCTTCCCATTGAGGTACATCTATAACACAACAGAAATACAACATTATAGATAGATAGATATATAGATATATAGATATATAGATAGATAGATAGATAGATAGATAGATAGATAGATAGATAGATAGATAGATAGATAGATAGATAGATAGATAGATAGATAGATAGATAGATAGATAGATAGATAGATAGATAGATAGATAGATAGATAGATTTTTCACTGCATTAACATATTTATTATGTGCATTGATAGTAGTGCTTTCTGCAGATAAGAGCTCTGCACCTGCAGGTTTTAGGCACTCTTACAATTTCATGCTACAATGACTTAAGTCACTTTTGTTTGATTTATGGAGAGAAGAGGAATTTTTCACTGTACGGCAGAAATCAGTGGAGCAGATCTCATGACTCTGGAGCAAAGATCAGTGCTGTCCTTAATGATTAAGAGGCAGCTCATCCTGATGCTTGTCAGCTCAAAGTATGTTTAAGATAAATGCAGCATTTTGGAAAGGACCATTACTTTGCAAGAACAGAGCTGCTGCTGCCCCCGTGTGGCAGCTGTGAAGACCTGCAGCCTATTGAAAAGTCTGCAGTGAGTTCTCCTACCAAGAACATCCCAGGAGAAGCATCATGTCGCTGTTGCAGCAGAACGTTCTCAGGCCCAGAGCCTGCCAATCCGGCCGACATCTCGTACCTGACCAGGCGAAAAGAGTCCATCTGGCACTGGGTGAACACAGGCAACCTGTTACTGGGGTTTCTATAAAACTGCTGACTGGGCTTTGTGTCGTTTTCTATTCATTCATTTATGCAACACTGCTTCTATCCTTGAAAAAGTGCATCAGCATCAATAAAATTCTTGCTGATTGAATTTAATGACGACGAGAGTGATACCACATGATAACAATGATGATGCATGCCCTCCTGGCTAAATTACAGACTTAATTCGGTATTCTTGTGATTATACATTGATCCCATATGTTTAGTCATTTTTATCTTAACTTTATGTACTGCACAGAGTTCTGTTCACACCTCGGTGCATGGCATGGTTCTGCGCTTGTTCCTCCTCCTGTAGAGATCCTCCAGAGCATCCCACCTGGTTGCTGCGTGTTTGTTAACAGGCTGCTGACGTGGCGTAACACATACCACCAGTATCTGTTTGCTGTGAAGAGGCTGACCCGTAATGAAAGCATCATACTCTAGGTCAGTGACCACCGGCATCTGCGTTGCACTGCAGCAGCACCTCCTCCTCTGCCGCTCCTCCCCCTGTAGGGCAGCTCTCAGCAGAGCAGGGCAGGTTGTGAGAGGGATGGAGGGAGCAAGAGGTACCATAGCTGTCTGACTGCAGATGGGTGAAGCTTCAGACCCGGCAGGGTGTGAAAGAATCACCGACCTGGGAGAGAGTTAAGCTGATGTTAAAATTAAACCAGATATTTACATAAAAACACTTCAGTCTGATATTAAATTAAAGCAAATGCCTCCGGTCACAATAAATATATTCAAATTCATCATTTGAATGAAACAAAGAAGCCTGTATTAATGTGTTTAAAGGCAACACCTAAAATCCAAGGCTGACATCAAGGAAAAACTCAAAGAAAGCAGGAAGATCACAGGTTTTTGTTTCTACTTCGGTGCAGTTTCTGGATGCCGGACCGTTTATCTGCTTATACTATTATTGTCAGTAATGTCCAGCTATGAGGTTATGTTGCATCTCACTTGTGAAAAATGTGCATCTTATCCAGATGGTGAACTATGTCTTGTACTGACAGGGACTGAGGACCACTAAGTGAGGAAGAAGCTGTAAAAACAAAATATTAGGGGTGCACGATATAATCGGCCCCCTATCGGTATCGACCTGTATCGGCCTTAAAACTGAATATCGGACATCGGCCACCCCACCGATATTTAACCCGATATTTGATCAGCTTCTGAGTTTCTAAAGTCTAAAAATAAAAAAAATACTACTTCTTCTTCTTCCTCAAAAACTTCTTTTTTACAGACTTAAAAACGTCTAAAGACGAGGGAAAAAATATTGAAACACTAAAATATCACAATATTTTCATATGCTGATATATTGCCATTTAAAAACACCATACCAATCTCTTTTACTAATGAAATATTGCTATATGTCATCGTTATGCTATAAAATCCCCCGAAAATTCACGAAATTTTGCCATATTTTTATATGTTGATATATTGACGCGGTATCGATCTATTTTACTAACAAAATCTCACAAGAATTTGCAAAATTTCACGAGAGTTTGTAACAGAACGATGAAATTTCACGAGATTTTGAAAGTAAAATAGATCGATACCGCGTTTTTAAAAATCAATTTGATATCAGCATATGAAAATATATTTCAGTATATTATGTCTCAAAGTGTCAGAAATGGATAACAAAACTTCTATTTTCAATGACTACTTATTTTTGTCCAGCTTTAACATTGGTATCGATATCGGTTATCGGCTACATGAGTTTTAAAATATCGGCATATCGGATATCGGCCAAAATCCCAATATCGTGCATCACTACAAAATATATCTAGAAAAGCACTCAGAGAGCGTAGACCTCCAGCAAGAAGCAAATTTTATCTCGTATTTTGACCTTCATCTATAGCTGAACTCACACGTCTGGAACATGACTTTTGAAGTCTGATGCTGAAGCTGTCAATAGTCACTGCTGCCTCTTTGGTTTAGGAGGAACAGCTTTTTTCCTCCATAAATCAATATCTCACAATGTTAAAGAATCCTTCAAAATAAATCCTGTATTCAGATTAGAATCTGGATCATCACCAAAATTTAATGGATTATTGTTTGGCATGAGGGAAACCTCTGATAAAAATTCCATTAAAATCCGTTGATACCTTTTCAAGTTACACCCACACCCAAAAACTCTCTTAAAAACATAACCTGCTAGCCAGGGGCGGATTTAGGAAATGTGGGGCCCTAGGCAAAGGCAGGCATGGGGCCCTCTAAATTGAGAAGACAAAACATAAGACAGACCCATTATACAGATATAGACATTTTAATAGAATAGACATACCTTATTTGTTCTATGTTTTGTCCCTTTTCTTGTTGTTTTCATCTCTATGTTTCGTACTCAGCCGGCTTTTCATGCTGTCTCAAAAGGAATGAAACATTTTTTCAAATCACTACTTAACTGATTGCTTTTTGCAACGGCAAAAGTAAATAACCCAGTCCTTGTTTTCACTGTAGACAAGCCATGATCTGCTTATCTGTTCTCCATTTTTCATTTGGATGAAATAATAGCTGCATGAGTCATGACAGCAGACAAGATAGAGGAGAGCAGGAGGCGGGGTTACCAATCTACTCGCTCTGGAGAGCAGAGTTCGCTGCTTTTAGATGTTGTCTTCAAACAGAGCATTTTAGCAAAAAGGATTTTTATCAAAAACATAATGTGCACAAATAAGTAATAGTTGAATTAACCATAAAGTTAAAAGGAGTTTTATGGGCTCCCCGGGAACTTGGGGCCCTAGGCAACTGCCTAGTTTTGCCTAATGGTAAATCCGCCCCTGCTGCTAGCTTGCCCTGCCTGTCCTGGTTGCACCCTGCCTCTCGCCCATAGCACAGCTGGAGACAGCTGGAGATAGACACCAGCACCCCTCTTGATCAAATCAAATCAAATGGATGGATAGAAAAAGAGCTTTAATTTAAACAAAATAAATATGTTTGTTTGTATATAATGACCATCGCTACGTTTGGAGGCGCTAAGCATGATAACAACATCAAAAGTGATGTACGGAGGTGGCAGCATCATGTTGAGTGGGTGTTTTTATGAAAGAAGCAGAGAAGGGGTTTCCAAACGGAGGCAGAAACATTCAACAAATTAAGGTTTTCGAATTAAAGGCCAAAATAGTTCTTGTTTTAGAGAAACAGCTCTTACTCGGGTTTGATGTCACCATGGATCCGAAGGGGTCCGATCTGCGTGACAGGGGACGTTTTTCTGTCTTGCTTCTCAAGTGTCCTGAAAACACACAAAACTGAACTGGGTTTTTCATATTTAATGTTTCAGTGTAATCTATCTAAACTTTATGCTTTGCTTGAGGCTTGAGAGCTGGATTCTTCACAATTTAATAGGACATAAAATGAATAAGTTACCTAAAATATCTGGTTGCCTAGCAACCTAGCAAACCTGAGTCTCCTATTTCTACAACATGATGGGCGTTTCTCAATATGCGTTCTTGAGCGTTCTCGTGTGCTCGTGTACTCGTGACACGTCATCAGCCTCAGCCCGAGTACCGTTCCAATTCTCGAGAACGCCAGACTGAGAACGCACCAAATCCCCGGATGTTGTTCTCGCCCCGCCCTCTTTATCGAGCATGCATCAGAGCAGACTTGTGCGTTCTTCAGACTGACCGCTTCCCCAGAATGCCCCGCGGCCGCAGCTTGATTCGAGACAGCACTCACAGTGTTAAGTTAAACATTCCCTTTTCTGCTGCTGCTGTTCTTCAAAAGTACGTTTTGAAATCGTTTGAGGCGATAACATTATACATTTAAGCCTCCCTGTGTGGCCTGTTTACAGAGTTAGTGCAAAATAAATTTTAAAAAAGTCCGACGTTGAGCGGACCAGAGTGACCAGCAGACCTCCGAGGGTAACCGCAGCCAGGGCTAATATTACCCCCGTCTGTAGTGCACTTCTCTCGGTCTAGTTATGTGTGAACTACCGCTCATTCTGATGGCGGTTTTTTGCGGTTCGGTAATTTTTTAAAATGTTTTTTAAGCTTTAGAAATTAAAAATGTTGTTTTCAAAATGTTTTGTGTAGGGAATAAATAGTTTTGACTGTTAAAGAAATGCTAAAGAACGTTGCATGTGATGACGTCACGAGTACGCTTCTGTTCCAACACACATACGTGCTTGCGTGCTCGCGTTCTCGTCAAGTCCGATCTTCCTGCATTCTCGCCAAGAACGGACTTGACGAGAACGCGAGTACGTACTCGCGTTCTCGTGAATTGAGAAACGCCGAATATCTCAAATAGGATTGAACAGTTTCAGTTAATTTCATCATGAAGGGCCCAAAAATAGGCGTCCAGATGTTTTTGTTGTTGTTGTTGTTTTCCAATAACTTACTCTAGACAGTATTAATGGGCAGGCTTGTCTAAATTTTACACTTCCAATGATATATCCATCAGAAAGACAAAAGGTCTGATCTTACATGTATTTTAATGGTTGCAATCCCTCAAGAGAATCCCTCTAAATTCAATTAGCAGCAGTCCACACACAGGCTCCAAAAACAAAAAGATCTGTACGGCTCTGATAAGACAGACAGCAGTAACGGCAGGAATCACCAGATAAACAGTCAAGTTGCTTTTCACTCTCTAAAGCAATAAAAGGAATAAAGGAAGACCTTTCATAGCACCATATTAAACATCTTCTTATTTCTTACTGGCTTCTTATTTATCTCTGCAAAGCCCTTTAAATAAGGAAATAAGATTAAAGGAAACTGATATGCATGCACAGTTTTTTTTTTCTCTTCGCTGCATATTTATCCACAACTTCATGCTTCAATGTCAAATTAACCTCTGCATAAAAAAAGGAAGCCTGTGGTTGTAATATGATGAATTATGAGAAGGATAAAAAACTTCTTTAGATTTTTAGCAGCCAAATCTTACCCAAGGTCACGTCTTATGATTTATAAATGAGCTAATCTGTGTAGGATATCAGGAAAACTCTCTGCATCAGTCAGCACCTTTGTATCTGGACAAAGCGGCCCCGAGGTTTCTCTGCTGAGAGGCCTCTGTGGTTCTCTCTGAGCTCATCCCTCCTGCGTCTCCCAGCATGCAACTGTGCAGCTTTCTTGCATTCAGGTGAGTTCAGTGAGGGCAGAGCAGCCAGCTGCACTGCTCGTCTCTGCCGGGTCCACTTTTGGGCCCCTGGCAGTGGCTCCGTGTCAGGACACTTGATACCTGAAGGAGAGGAAGAGGTCACTGACATGAGCAGTCACTGAGTGACACGAGTGACCGTGAATAGGATCCTGTTGGAACTATTCAATAATGTTGAGTTTGCAGGATGTGGTGATACTGTAACTTTTTAGCTTCAGCAAACTCTATCCTGTAAGCCCACCAGGTTAGGTTGGCTCCACGTTCATTTTCTATGTGCTTTGCAGCATAAAATGCCTCACGCGTGCAAGAATGTGCAAAAACTCTATTGTGTGAATACATTTGTAGGTATACCGATGGCAGCACGGTAGAAGTCCAGCCAGGTCTCCACTGTGTTTCGCATTCTTTGCTGCATCCTTTGCAGCTCCCTCGCGGCATTTCCTCGTCTTCGCCACAGAGCTAATGGCTCCACCTGCTGCTCCTCTTCTTTAACCATCTGATGAATAAAGTTGTGATGACTTACTTAAGGTGTCTGCGTTTAAAAAATATATAAACTATGTAACTTGGTCTATTGAAATGCTTCTAACCACTTGTTCATTAAATAAAGGAGTCTTACAGGTGTTTTCCCCAGGCTGCGTTTGCTCTCTGCTACTCCTGCAGGATGTTTCTGCCTCTTTGGCTGCTGCAGCTCCTGAGCAGCAACAGAGAACAATTTGTTCTCTGTCTGCAAACAGTTTCATAAAAGATGATTAATTTAGAGATAACTGTAACCGTTAATTCATGATCTCACCATTTTCTTCAACTGGCTTTTATTAGGGACACAAGAAAGTGGAAGCTGAACACTTTCATTTTCACATCTGAAGCTGAGCACACCAGACGTCCCACTGAAGAGCCTCACTGAGATCTCCTCTGAGACCTACAGGAATCAGACAAAGAATAAGTGCAGCATTTTAGTTTCATCCAACCTTATTTCTATGTGATTTGGCCATATGCTGTGGATACTATCCAACTCTAAGACTGGTTGTTTAAAAACAGGACGGGTCTCGTTTTGTTCATTTCCTGCTGTCACCATGTACCATAATGTTTGGGAAGGACCTGGAGATGAAAACTGAGGCAAATCCAGAGAGAGAAAAGGGTCCAAACATGGTCTGACACAGTAGTAGTAAAATGTGCACAGGTTTTAGTCACAAACCAAATTCTCTATTTCCACAGCAGCCACTCGGAGAGATTAGTTTCATCCCTTCATGATTATTTGGTATGTTGCTTTGTCCCTGTGCCATGAATGTCTGAGGTTCTGACTAAGACAGAGAAAAGGTGATTGTTGCTCTAATTTATGAAAATGAAAACAAAATAGCACCTTATAGAGGAAAAAGAATTAATAATATAATCCAATAGGATAAAATCTAACGTTATGTGTCATTTTAATCTGAATTAGATTTCACTAAATTAAAAACTAAGAGAAATTGATTTTCCTTTCCTCAAAAAATATTTATACACATGTATATCACTTAAAACATATTAACAATAAAATCAGTGATTTTCATCCCTTAAGTGTTAGAAGTAAATTACCAAATATATGGGATGTAGTTTGGAAAATGCGACTAACATATACACTCACCGGCCACTTTATTAGGTACCCCATGCTAGTAACGGGTTCGACCCCCTTTTGCCTTCAGAACTGCCTCAATTCTTCGTGGCATAGATTCAACAAGGTGCTGGAAGCATTCCTCAGGGAGTCTGGTCCATATTGACATGATGGCATCACACAGTTGCCGCAGATTTGTCGGCTGCACATCCATGATGCGAATCGCCCGTTCCACCACATCCCAAAGATGCTCTATTGGATTGAGATCTGGTGACTGTGGAGGCCATTTGAGTACAGTGAACTCATTGTCATGTTCAAGAAACCAGTCTGAGAAGATTCCAGCTTTATGACATGGCGCATTATCCTGCTGAGAGTAGCCATCAGAAGTTGGGTACATTGTGGTCATAAAGGGATGGACATGGGCAGCAACAATACTCAGGTAGGCTGTGGCGTTGCAACGATGCTCAATTGGTACCAAGGGGCCCAAAGAGTGCCAAGAAAATATTCCCCACACCATGACACCACCACCACCAGCCTGAACCGTTGATACAAGGCAGGATGGATCCATGCTTTCATGTTGTAGACGCCAAATTCTGACCCTACCATCCGAATGTCGCAGCAGAAATCGAGACTCATCAGACCAGGCAACGTTTTTCCAATCTTCTATTGTCCAATTTCGATGAGCTTGTGCAAATTGTAGCCTCAGTTTCCTGTTCTTAGCTGAAAGGAGTGGCACTCGGTGTGGTCTTCTGCTGCTGTAGCCCATCTGCCTCAAAGTTCGACGTACTGTGCGTTCAGCTCTTCTGCCCACCTTGGTTGTAACGGGTGGTTATTTGAGTCACTGTTGCCCTTCTATCAGCTCGAACCAGTCTGGCCATTCTCCTCTGACCTCTGGCATCAACAAGGCATTTCCGCCCACAGAACTGCCGCTCACTGGATGTTTTTTCTTTTTCGGACCATTCTCTGTAAACCCTAGAGATGGTTGTGCATGAAAATTCCAGTAGATCAGCAGTTTCTGAAATACTCAGACCAGCCCTTCTGGCACCAACAATCATGCCACGTTCAAAGTCACTCAAATCAGCTTTCTTCCCCATACTGATGCTCGGTTTGAACTGCAGGAGATTGTCTTGACCATGTCTACATGCCTAAATGCCCTGAGTTGCCGCCATGTGATTGGCTGCTTAGAAATTAAGTGTTAATGAGCAGTTGGACAGGTGTACCTAATAAAGTGGCCGGTGAGTGTATAAAAGCTATGAGTTTATTAACTAAAATTATAGATTTCCAAAAAATAAAAAATAAACTCCTGAGGATTTGACTCAAAATGGCATATTTTCCTGAGAGAGTGAAATAATATTAATAATAATTTTTGGCACATTTAAAACAAGTATGTTTAAAAATGAATAAAACCTAAAACCTGCTTAATGGATTTAAATCTAGGATGATTAAAAAACAAAAAACATCCCAACTTTCAGAATTAGGACTGAAATAGCACCTGACATAAAGTTATAAATGGTTGGCTTACAGCAGAACAGTAACTGGTTCTGTAACATTGTCCACAAGATACTTAGCCTAAATGTCCTGTTTGATGTGATGCTCTCTAACAGGAAGCCCACAGCATCACAAATCCTCACCTTACAAAATACATAATTGAGTAGTTTATTTTATAGTTTGTGCTTTGCTTAGATTAAATAATTCAATAAACCTTTGGAGTTGTATTAGGCTTAGCCCACTCCACACATTTTGTGATTTTCCGTGTGTGATAGTATCTTTTTTTTATTGAACCAGTAACTCTTACCTGTATGATAATTTCCCCCCTCAGTGTGTGATATGTCTGCCAGCTCCACTCCTTGGTTATGTTGCCATAATCATCAAACATCAACCCGCCTCCCTGATCCCACACGGCTGTGATGATGGAGCTGCAGCAACAGATATCAAATAACTGATTGAAGTTTACCGTCACTGTCATCACGGCTTTAAAATATCGTTCTCTTTATTAATAAAATAGAACAAAATGCTTATTTTGACAGTTTTTTTTCCACAATGACAGTATCTAATAATTGGTATATCATAATCAACTGCTGGTAATAGATTAGTTATTATGTAAGATAAATCATCAGAAGACAAAAAGTGAAAAACAAAGAATTTGAAACTATGAAAAAAGCAACAAATAAAAAATGTGCAGGTCTGAACTCACTAGAGAGGATTTGTAACAGCCCCATGTCCAAAAGGTGTGATGGTCATCAGTGTGACAGGGTGCTGGGCGTCGGCGAACACGTTGGTGCAGAAGCCTCCGTGAGGCAGACATGAGCAGCTCTGGCACACAGCGATGCTGCCGGACGGGTAGCTAGGGAAAGCGCGGTTAAGGAGAACTTGCACATTTATTCTATATGCCAGATGTGGTGCTTTCTGCTCGGACTGCAATCCAAAGCGAAACAGTAAGGATACTATATGAATGAGGAGCCATCATTCATGTGGTAGTGCAGTTTCTGAGGGGCTGGATTCTGCAGCTGCTCTTCTGGTATCTGGAGTTTAGCATCAACCAGAGGTCCAGGCGTGGTTCTTCTTCTTCTTCTCTTAGAAAGATCTTCCTTTCCATCACCATAATGACGGAGAATAAAAGCTTTATTCAGATCCTGCTCAGCTGGTGGCAGATTTCTACAAAAAGATGGAAAATCATGAATCTAGTTTGGAGTCCCCACTGCATCTTGCAAAAATATTCATACACCTTGGTCTTTTTCATGTTTAGTTACATTACCGTACTACAAACTTTAGTATTTTATTGGGAGTTATATAAAGATACAAAGAAATGGTAAGGCCGAGGAAAGGGATTGTTTTCCAAAGTTCTTTATAAAGAAAGCATATTCATGATAGTTGACTGGCCCAGGAGGGCGAATGTTGGCGCAGTATGTAGCACGGTTTCATCGCAGCAAGAAAGTTCTGGTTTGATCCCAGGCTTCCCTAAATTGTCCTTAGGTGTGAGTGTGTGTTTATGGTTGTATGTGCGTCTCTGTTCAGGGTGTACCCTGCCGCTCGCTCACACACTACCTGTCATGATAAGGCCTGTTTGCTCCTCCTTAATTGATTATCTCTTTCACCTGCCGTTTTCCCTCCCTGCCTCAATTATAATCAGTTTTTGCCTTGGTTGTTGTCCTGGATCCTGGCGGCCAGTGGAAAGAGGTTTTTGTGTTTGTCTCATCTCCTGATCGTCCACTGTTCCTCCCCTGCGGAGTCCTCATGGTTTTTGGCTCTATATGTGGGGAGGTTCAGTTTTTATCTCAGTAAGCCTGGCTCCAAGGAGGAGACCAGTTTAAAGTCCTGCATCAAGTTCTGGTTCCACGTCCTGTCTCTGCTACCCTCTGCCACTGAGCCTGCCTGTCTGCACCTAATCCTGTCTGCTCCTGTGTGTGACTGCCTGGTCATGCTTCCGGTCCCAGTTAGACTCTGAACCTGCCTGGGAGCTCTATGATGCTTGGAAGGCTGGATCCTGCCACCTGTCTGTTACACCCTGATCTGGATCCTGTTCCTGTCTGTTCTGAATCCCTGACCAGGATCGGCTTCCTGCAAGACCTCTGGCACTGCAGCTTTGGGGACATTCTTGGACTGGACTGTTAAACGAGAGTGTCTGTGTTTGGGCGGTGCCCCGCTCCCCCTCCTGCAGAATCCGCAAGCCACAGCTCCACTTTAGGTTTGTTTATTTAATAAACGTTTTGAACTTTCCTACTGACTGTCTCTCCTTGAATACTGGGTCCATCTGTCCTCGGTTCATGACACTACCAGCTCCACAGCGACCCTGACAGAATTAACAGTAGATAATGGATAGATGAATGGTCCAGTCAAAGTCCAGGTAAGAATGTAAATGAACCAGTTTAATGCAGTCGTAGAAAATTTAAAATACCTCAAATGAACTGCTGCTGTAAAAGAAGAAGGTTATACTAAAGTTATACTTATTTGTCAAAGAAATGCTTGTTTTCCTTTCAATTTACATTGATTTCCCACCGAAAATCCTAAATTTTATGCCTGTAATGAGGCAACATGTGATTAATTTTGCAAGCAGCTCCTAACCTTATGGCCTCACGCATTGATAGACTGTGTGCAAAGGAGAGATTTGATCATTGGGTATAAAATGTTTGGTAAAGTAACCCTTCATTGGCCACACAGTTGTTAAAGCTGCAGAAGGTTTAAAAAAAAAAAACCCACTGAGGATTTCGTGCTGCCCGCAGTCGCTCCACCGCCCACTGAATCACTTGGATGCTTTCAGGCTCATCACAGAGGTGCTGCTTTGGCTGAGCGATCCCACCTGGACACAAAGCACATCCAGCTGAGGCAGCAGAGGTGCTGCAGGCAAACGGTCAATAACATAATGCTGCAGCGCCGCATCATACCTGGATCTTCACAGCTACAGGCTGAGATGGAGAATCTCACTGCTGTGGAGTTTGAAGCTGTGTGGAATAGAAATAAGTAAATTCACCATTCTATCACCTGGTGTAATTTCATTCAGGTATGTTAGATTTGTACGAGTGTGTAAGTCAATGCACCGAGCGTAACTGGATAGCCTTGCCATCGTGCATTACCAGGGAGAAGAGCCTTTCAATTCAATTCAGTTTATTTATATAGCGCCAAATTCACAACACATGTCATCTCAAGGCACTTTACAGTTCAACCAGATCATACAGTCAAATTGATACAAAGTTTTCTATCTAAGGAAAACCAGTTGATTGCATCGACTCATTGACTCAAATACAATCCCTCACACTAAGCATGCTTGTAGCGACAGTGGAGAGGAAAAACTCCCTTTTAACAGGAAGAAACCTCCAGCAGAACCAGGCTCAGTGTGAGCGGCCATCTGCCGAGGCCGACTGGGGTTCAAGGAGACAGAAGCAGAGATACAAAAAGCAGCCGTAAAAGGCGGCCCCGTCCAGGAAACACACAGCCAGGCAGCCTTTGTGCTACGCTAATACATATGATCTGGTAAACCAATATCCTCACTGGCACAAGCTTGCAAGCAAAACTACCATGCAGGAACATTTGCATCCACTACCTTTAACTGGAAATAAACAGTTTATAAATTGGCTCTATATTGCTTATTTCAACATGACAATGTCATTCAAATATGATACTAAGATCTGAGCAAAGAAGAGACCCTTAATGTTTGTGATGCTGAGTTTTACTTGGTTTCCTGTTTGAAAATCCTGCCTCGTCTGAAACTATTAAGTCTGTTGATCTTTCTTTTTCTCTCAAACAGAACCAGTGAATGACTGAATCTAAGAACTATAAGTTCAATTGGTTTTAGACTCGTTTCTTTGTCCTTTTACTTTATAAATAAACAACAAATACCTTAACAAAGGGTTGGACCCAAATGGAACTTACCAATCCTGGTTCTGTTTGTGCTTTCAGTTTCTGCCCCACTGTCACCACATACTTTCTTGGCACAAGGGGTTGACATTATTGGCCAGGATCTCTTAGATAAAACTTTTTATCAACTGAATTGGGCCTTAATGTATTCCAATAAATTATCGAATTCAGCTTTTTGCTTGTGGATGATTTAAAAACAGAGTTTTACAGTAAAATATTAGCTGAATCTGTTTATCTGGTAAAGTGCATTGATGCCTTATTGTAAGACGGTACCACAAAAATAATGTTAATTTAGTTTAATAAAATGTACGAAAGGCGATATATCCATATAATGGAAAATATGTAACTTTGAATGACGTAAAATAGAATCTATTTCAAAATGTTATACCAGCACTAATTAACTGAAAACTAATTTTCATTATAAAAGTATATTGTTTTTGTATGTATTCTTGTTCTTACATCTCCATGTGGAAATTTTGGATTAATCTTGGCCAATGTCTCAGTATAGAAACTTCATACACGGGACTTTAAAGGGGAACGCCGTTTTTTTTTTACATACATTAACGTCTTCCTATGGGCAACGACTTGAAGGCACAAACTAAACTGTTCATAATTTATCATTTATTGTACGCCAGCATTCATAACATGTAGGCGAATCACTGTCCCCCAGACATCTGCGGTTATATTTTTTATATTTATATCTTTTAAAAACTAAGCGGAGTGTGTATGACGTCATCCGTGCACCGGACTGGAGTTGTGACGGCAGCCCGGGCCACAGACGGCTACGCTCTACCCCTTCTATTCATTCTAGCTAATCTGAATCGTTCAATTCCATTTGGAGAGCGAGATCATCTGTGGTAGCAGCACTAGAAATCTTCCAGGCATGTGAGGAAAACTAGCAGCAGTTCAGCGGACAGGAAGAATGCGAATGACGTCATACACACGCCTCTATGTTCTAAAAAAATATAAATATAAAAAATATACCGCAGATTTCTGGCGGACAGTGATTCACCTGCATGTTATGAATGCTGGCGTACTATAAAGAATAAATTATGAGCAGTTTAGTTTGCTCCTTCAATCGTTGCCCAAAGGAAGACGTTACTTGGATATAACCTAACAGAATATCTTTAGAACGGGTCCAAATGACACAAAACTCATATGGGTGAGTAGAACATGATTTATTGACGTAAAATCAAGGGCCCAATTAAAAAAAAAAAACAGCGTTCCCCTTTAAATGTGTAATTTTTGGACACATGGCTGTAGGTCTTCCTATCACTTTTTTATTTATTCTTTATCTGTTAAAACCCAGCCAGCAAATACCTCCCTCCCTTCATGCCTTTATGCACCTGACTACTCAGTACCCTCATTATTCTGCTTCAGCAGGGGTAAAGTGGTAGCATAAGGAATCAATCCCCGGAGGATAATAAATTAGTTTGCAGCTCCTGTAAAACAAAAGTATTTTTCTTCCTTCTATATTAACATCTATTAGCATATTTTAGCATAAATATGGTTGACACAAAATAATAGAATAAAAACATAAAAATAAAATGTACCTCTTTTGGTGCGTTTGTTCTTTTTTCCCCATTTTTTCACTTCAACTTTTCTCCAAAATGAACCTGCATTTCCATCCACACAACAGTTCCCTTCTCCTCTTTCCTCCTTGGCAGGCTCAACAACCTGACGAGGTGTTTTCTCCCTCTTCAGAGAGACTTTGGACCTCCCCTGTTTCTCAGTCATCGCCACTCGACTTCTCAAGCGGAGCGACGCCCCTGCAGTCAGATCGAGCCAGGAGTAATTCAGGATATTGACAACGCCGCTGGGGATGCAGTCTTTCTGCGACCACTTATGCTGTGAAAGTAGATGAGCCAATTTGTTTAATAAGTGAGGGGCCGCTCGCCTGTAGGCGTCCATCAGATCCTTTGGTGCAGCACTGACGGATGATGATGAAGCATCAGGTTCTTTATCATTGAAGGCTTCACCTGAGGGCTTCTGGGTGTTTAAATCGTTGCTTTCACCTTTTTGGTTCTCCTCTTGCTGACTGTAAGAAAATGGGTTCTTGTAATAGATACAAAGTTCAGCAACAAAACTTAGACGAACAATTTTTCTACCTTAGCTGAGGGCCATCCAGCTGTGACCCTCCACTTGTAAAAGTGTAAAATGTTGCTTTGAATCCACTTCTGTCTTGTTGGCTGCAGAAAATAACCAATGAATGTTGATTGATTTATTTAAAATTATATTTAAAATAGAGTCAACAGAATAAATGCATTGAAGCCCACCTGGTCAAAGAAGAAGACAGGACCACCTCTGCCTCTCTGCCCACAGTCACAATCCATGAACTCCTGCACAGGCAACACTGACTTCAGCCATAATATTTGACCAATAAAAGTGTTTGTGAAATTTTGATTGATTTATTATCTTTAGATTTAGTGGTTAGGGCATAGAGCTTGGAATCCTGAGGTTCTGAGTTCGAGTCCCACTCCCACAGACTGCCACTCTGGGTACCTTAGCAAAAACCCTTAATCCCACAGTGCTCCCTGGGTGCCTCACAATGGCAGCCCACTGCTCCCAAAGGGTTAAATGCAGAGGTAAATTTCTCCAATGTGAAATCAATAAAGTTCAATACTTAAAAAGAAAAAAACAAAAAATTCCAAATATATTGTAATATATCCTCTTTGACACAACAGCCAACTGTAAAATGGAAATTCAACAAACTATTAACATGTATTTAAAATTTTTTTGGGGTTTTCTCTAATACCATTTTAAACCTATAACTAAGAAAACATCCTGCCAATGAAATGAGATTTGGTTCATAAGAAAGCAAGATGATATTTTACACAAACTGTAAATTCCAACAGTCAGATTAAAAATGTCATAAACATTAACAAAATGTTAATATAATCAGTGATCACTATAAAAAAATTATCAGACCAGCTTGGACTTGTGCATATACTATATATATATATATAACAAAAACTAAACTTTTCTCACCCCTCGTGGGTTGGTATGTGTCATCCTCAAGCTCGGGTCCTCTACCATAGGCCTGGGAGTTTGAGGGTTCTGCGCAGTATCTTAGCTGTTCCTAGGACTGCGCTCTTCTGGACAGAGACCTCTGATGTTTTACCTGGAATCTGCTGTAGCCACTCTCCCAGTTTGGGGGTCACAGCCCCCAGTGCTCCAATTACCACTGGCACCACTGCTGCTCTCACTTTCCACATCTTTTCTACCTTGGTATTTCTCAAGCTTCTCGTGTTCTTTCTTCTTGATGTTGCTGTCGCTTGGGATTGCCACATCTATCACTACTGCCTTCTTCTGCTGTTTGTAGATCAACACAATGTCTGGTTGGTTAGCCATCACCTGTTTGTCAGTCTGGATCTTGAAGTCCCATAGGATCTTAGCTCGGTCATTCTCAACTACCTTAGGAGGTGTGCTCCATGTTGACCTTGGGACTTCCAGCCCATACTCATGGCAGATGTTCCTGTACACTATGACAGCTACCTGGTTGTGGCGTTCCATGTATGCACTTCCTGCCTGCATTTTACACCCTGTTGTTACGTGCTGTATTGTTTCAGAGGCATCTTTGCACAGTCTGCATCGGGGGTCCTGCCTGGTGTGGTAGACCCTGGCCTCTATTGATCTTGTACTGAGTGCCTGTTCTTGTGCTGCCATGATTAGTGCCTCTGTGCTGTCCTTCAGTCCAGCCTTTTCCAGCCACTGGTAGGATTTTTTGATATCAGCCACTTCTTCTATTTGTCTGTGGTATACGCTGTGCAGCGGCTTGTCCCTCCATGATGGTTCTCCTTCATCTTTCTTGTTCTCACTTTCGGGTTTCTCCTGCCTGAAGTATTCACCAAGCCATTTGTCTTTGGGGGCCATCTTTCTGATGTACTCCTGGATCATAGTTGTTTCATCCTGGACAGTGGTCTTGACACTCACTAGCCCTACTGTAGGCCTCCCTCCCTACGCTTGGTATACAGTCTCAGGGTGCTGGATTTTGGGGGAAATCCTCCATGCATTGTGAGGAGCTTTATATATATATATATATATATATATATATATATATATATATATATATATATATATATATATATATATATATATATATATATATATATATATATATATATATGTGTGTGTGTTTTTCTGGTTTTATATAATTATTACACTTACTAAATACAGTAGTTTTAGAGAGTTGACAATTATTCTTCATTTGTTTTTTGTAAAGATTAACGGTTTCTTGAGCTGCAAAAAAGTTTCTCCTCAGTGTGAAATAATTCAGGTTTGATCGATTTAAGATAAAAAAAAAATTTAATTTAAGTGGATCAAAGGGAAAACACGCTACCTTTTCAACCTTTTGAAACGGCACCTCAGCTTAAGAGCAATTAAAGTGCAAAACGGATGATAACCAACCATCATTATTGGCAAACAGGAGTCAGGTCACTTCTTCACTCAAGAACTACCTTTTCTAACTTTAAAACAAGCGTCTAAAACATAGATCGAACAGCAAGATCGTATTTTAAACCGTTAGTTTAGCTAAGACATACATCATTTTGATTAGCAATATTTCACGGTAGTTTAATGGAAAGTGGGCTTAATTATAATATCTAAATAAAAGTAAATGTTAAGGATACATTTCCACAGCTGTCATTTGCGCACAGAATAACAGGTTTTATAAATGCACAGAATCCTCTCAGACTAGAAATGTCTGCTGGGTCCTCCTTGGCAGAGGAAAGCAGATTAGTTGAGGGTTATCACTGAGGAGATTTGCATCCAACAAACACGTCAAAATGAAAATTTCTGATATAAACAGCTGTTGTTTTATTATTATTATAAATGGAAATTGATTGGTTTTTGATTTGTTTCCAGCTGGATTTTATATGCATATTTTTAATTACTACGGTAAATGTGTTTATTACCAAAATAAATTCCTTTTTATATTGTTGTAAAACTCCCCTTAAAGTTTTTATACCAAAGAAAAGACTAGACTATAAAATAATAGCTGGAAAAAACATCCAAAAAAAGATCTACCTTTCACTTTTGTAGACCTACCTTTGTCCTTAACCCTCTCTGCTCACCTTGTTGCTAGGATACACGCCTCTTTACACGTCTCCTCGTTTACACATCGTCGATTCATCAAATGCAATGGCTACCTATCACAGTGCAAACAGGAAAACATCATCTTTACGAACATTTTTCTGGATCGTGGAACAAGCGGCGCACAGGCAAGGCTGCTGCTGGTTCAGGTGTGCACTGACAGGTAACCTGAAACTCTGACGCACCTGGGAGCTAAGAGAAAGTGATGCGTTTAGCGTGCAGTGCAACTATAAGAGGCCACACAACATGGACACTCACAATGGGACACACATCAGGAGGAGCAGGTTGCAGCCAGACCAAGCCTAAGGCTGAATAGGGCTCTCAGCTGAATTAAACGTGGGATCAGTTACTTTTGTATTTGTTTTTTTCAATTATGTATTTTACATCTGAATCAATTTGTATTATTTACTTTATTTTCAGAAAAGCAACAAAAAATTAAGCTTCAGTAGCAGATAAATTGCTTGGACCAGGATACCTACTATTGTTATACTGCTTCAATAAACTTCATAAAGCGATTAATTTTAAAGTATTTTCTTCTTTTTGCTATGAGGCTTTTGAACATTGAATATCATAATGATAATAATAAAAAAAAATAATTGAACTTTATTGATCTCACATTGGAGAAATTTACCTCTGCATTTAAGCCATCCATTTGGAGAGCAGTGGGCTGCCATTCTGTGGCGCCTGGAGAGCAATCGGGGGTTAAGGGTCTTGCTCAGAGACCCAGAGTGGCACTCTGTGGGAGTGGGTTTCAAACTCACATCCTCAGGATTCCAAGCTCTATACCCTAACCAGCAGCACTGAGCAGTAGCACTGAGCAGCAGCACTGAGCAGCAGCAGAGACAGACAATCTACAGGACAACTTGGCCAACAACAGGCCGGGCATTAGCCTCCACCACCAGGCCAAGCCAGGAGCCTCCGACACCAGGCCAGGCCAACCACCACCTCCAGGCTAGGCATTAGCCTCCACCACCAGGCCAAGCCAGGAGCCTCCGACACCAGGCCAGGCCAACCACCACCACCAGGCTAGGCATTAGCCTCCAACACCAGGCCAAGCCAGGAGCCTCCGACACCAGGCCAGGCCAACCACCACCACCAGGCTAGGCATTAGCCTCCACCACCAAACCAAGCTAGGAGCCTCCGACACCTGGCCAGACCAACCACCACTAACAGGCTAGGCCCCCAGCCTCCACACCAAGCCAGCCTATCAGACCAAGCCCCAGCCTCAAACGCCAGGCCAGCCACCACCACCAGGCCAGGACCCAGCCACCACCACCAGGCCAGGACCCAGCCTCCACCACCAGGCCAGGCCAACCACCACCACCAGGCTAGGCATTAGCCTCCACCACCAGGCCAAGCTAGGAGCCTCCAACACCAGGCCAAGCTAGGAGCCTCCAACACCAGGCCAGGCCAACCACCACCACCAGGCTAGGCCCCATCCTCCACACCAGGCCAGCCACCACTACAAGAACAAGCCCCAGCCTCCACGCCAGGCCAGCCACCACCACCAGGCCAGGCCCCAGCCTCCACTATCAGGTAACACCATACTACCTTGAAAAATGGGTCCCAAACAGCAAAGAAACACTGAGGAGGATTGGGTATCACTCACTCAGGTAAATGACCTGCTGAATCACCAGAAGGACATGTTTACAGCTTTATTACAGCAACAGCAGGACATTTTCAAAGACTTTGTTAAAGTTATAATGGATTCAACAAATTCAAGGATGGACATGATTACAAAAGAAATTCAGGAGTTGAAATTAAGTATACAATTCACACAGAAAGATGTGGATGAGCTAAAGATCACTCAGGCAAAACAGTCTGATCATGGTAATTCAATCCAGACAGACATAATCAAGATATGTGAAAGCTTACAGGTAATTGTGGATAAACAAGAGTACCTGGAAGGTTTATCGAGAAGAAATAATGTGGTCATTGATGGGATACCTGAGACCCCGGGTGAATCTTGGGTAGAATCAGAGGAAAAAGTTAAAGAAATTCTAAAGCAGAAGTTGCAACTACAAAGGGAGATTGATATTGAACGAGCATACCGTATAGGAAAACCTGAACCAGATAGGGAAAGACCTAGATCCATTGTGGTAAAGTTTTTGCACTTCAAAGACAAAACTGCAGTAATGCAGAGAGCAAAAAATCTGAAAGGTACTAGAATATTCATCAATGAGGACTACACAGATGCTGTAAGGTTAAAAAGAAAGGAACTCATGCCAAAACTGAAAGCTGCACGTGAGAAGGGTGAAATAGCTTACCTCAGACACGACAAACTGATAATCCGACCTCGTACCAGCACCCCAAGATAGGATAAACAAACGGAAATATGCTTACAGGACTGCTTCTTAAAATATATGGCAATGACATCCCAACACAACCGACTAAAAAGTGGACTAACTATTGCACATATAAATATAAACAGTCTAAGAAACAAAACAAATGATATAGCTGAATTGTTAGAAGAACATAAGCTGAAGATACTTGCTATTTCTGAGACTCATTTAGACTCCTCCTTTGTAGATAGTGAATTACATATAAAGGGTTACAACATTTATAGAAACGATAGAAATAAATATGGTGGTGGAGTAGCTTTTTACATTCAAGATCATTTACCTGTGAAAATGTGTACTGACATGATGAAATATAATATTGAAATATTATGGTTACAAGTTTATTTTCCTCACAGAAAGCCTATACTAGTAGGCTGCTGTTACAGACCTCCAAGTTCTAACAATGAATATCTTGACACAATCTGTGAAATGTTAGCTAATATGAATGTGGGTCTGGATGTCTATTTACTTGGAGATTTTAACATTGACTGGTTTGCTCATAACTGTCCACTGAAGAATAAGATACAAATTGGAGCTAATGCAGGTGGATTTGATCAAATTATGAATAAGCCAACAAGAATATGTATAAAAAAAGATGGTACTAAAACAGCTACATGTATTGATCACATTTTTACAAACTCTCCAGAAACAGTTAACAAGATATCATCGGTCCCTATTGGAAGCAGTGACCATAATCTGATTATAGTAGAAAAAAACAATAAGATCATATGCATCTTTCAATCCTTATTCTTTTGTTGACAATGTGAGAGAAATATGTTGGTCTAAAGTGTTGACTGAAAGAAATCCTGAGCTTGCACTGTCAAAGTTTGATGATTTATTTCTACCTGTGATTGAGAAACATGCACCTTTGAGAAGGTTTACCGTCAGAACATCGAAAACACCATGGCTGGACAAAGAAATGAAAGAAGCTATGAAAATGAGAGACCAAATGAAAAAAACTGCAATTATAACTGGTAATAAGGAAGACTGGTGCCTCTATAGGAAAACAAGAAACGCTGTGACCAAGCTAAATAAAAAGAAAAAAAAGAATTATTATGAAGATAGAGTAAAGAAGGCGGGGAATGATTGCAAAAAAATGTGGAAGATAGTTAATGATTTGACAGGTAGGAAAAATAGAACGCATCCATTATTTCTTGAGACAAACGATGGCTTCATAACTAGACCTAGAGAAATTGCTAATTATTTAAATAATTATTTCATTAGTAAAATAGCAAAACTAAGAGAAAATATGCCTAACCTAAGTAATGAAATATCTCACTTATTAATAAGAAACGAAATAATGAAAGGGAAAAGGTCCAAGTTTAAATTAGAAATGGTTAACTTGCAGAGGGTAAAGGATTGCCTGAAAGAGTGCAAAGATAAACCACCGGGTGTTGATGAACTGGATGTCAGACTTCTCAAATTGGTTGCTGATGAAATCGCTCCTGTAATTACTCACATTATTAACTTAAGTTTTATGTCTTCAGTGTGTCCACAAGCCTGGAAAACAGCCAAAATAATCCCATTACAGAAAAATAAGAAACTGCCCTTTTCCAGCTCAAATAGTCGTCCGATAAGTCTACTACCTGTGTTAGAAAAAATAACAGAGACCATAGTATATGAACAAATTAATAATTATCTGTCGATTAATAACATAATTTGTCACTCTCAACATGCTTATAGAAAGGCTCATTCTACAGCAACAGCACTAATTAGTATGTCTGATGACTGGCTTAGGAGTTTTGAAATAAAAGATATGGTGGGAGTTGTGTTTCTAGATTTTTCAGCTGCTTTTGATTTAATTGACCACCATCTACTATTAGAAAAACTTTCCTGCTATGGTTTTGAACAATCTGCACTTACTTGGTTTTACAGTTATTTAACTAACCGGTCGCAAACGGTATATTTTAATGGTGCATTTTCTGAAAAACAAACTGTAACATGTGGTGTACCTCAAGGGAGCTGCCTGGGTCCTTTATTATTTTCAATATTTACTAATGACTTACCATACATACTCAAAAAAACTAAAATAATTATGTATGCAGATGATTCCACTATATATACATCAGCAAGAACAAATAATGAATTAGAAATTATTATGAATAACGAACTAGTGGGAGTGGATAAATGGGTGAAAGCAAATAAGCTGGTATTGAATACAGCAAAAACTAACAGCATGATTGTGAGGTCAAATTACAACGTAAACAGTAATCATATATTGAATATTAATATCAATAACGTCTCGATAAGGAATGTGCATGAGTCCAAGCTTCTGGGAGTGACGGTGGATAACACGTTATTATGGAGAAAACATATTAATAACATGATTGCAAAGATGGGTAGAGGAATCACAGTCATAAGAAGACATGCAACCTTTATGTCCCCACATATTCTTAAAATGATAATCCAATCATTGATTTTTTCTCAAATGGATTACTGCCCAGTCGTCTGGTCAAATGCCCCTGGAGAGATGCTAAATAAACTACAACGTGTACAAAATAGAGCTGCCCGAATAATATTGAAGTGTGATTTAAGGACAAATATCATAACAATGCATAAAAAGTTAAACTGGTTGTTGGTTAAAGACAGACTTTCATACTCATTGACTGTTATGATTAGAAACATATCTGTATTAAAAACACCTTATATGTTATTTACAAACCTTACTTTTAGTTCAGAGAATCACGAATACAGGACTAGGCATGCGACTGAAGGAAACTTTAGTTTGCCTAAAGTAAAGTCAAATGCCTTAAAAAGAACTGTTATGTATAGAGGTATGAAAGCATGGAATTTACTGCCGAATTACATTAAACTGATAACTGATTTAAGGAAATTTAAAAAATCATTGAAAGAACATTTATTAAATATAGAGGTAAAACACGATTAGGACTGTCTTCTTCACTTGCTGTGCTTTGTAGTTTGTTTTGATTAGTTTGGATTGTTTCTGTTTATGTATATGGGTATGTATATGTATGTGTATATGTGTGTATGTATATATGTATATGTATAGATTATGGGAGATGTTGTTTTAATGTCCACATAATTTTATTTAATTTGTAATTTTTTTTTATTTCATGTTTTGTTGTTGGACCCCAGGAAGAATAGCTGTAGCTTGCTACAGCTAATGGGGATCCTAAATAAACTAAACTAAACTAAACTAACCACTAGGCTGCCACTCCCCTATATCCCCTATATCAATCTAATATTTCTCTTTCCACACAACCATGAAATATTCTTCAGGGTGATAATAATAAAAATAAAAATGCGTATAAAACATCAAAGGGATATAAAATCACGAGTCATTGAATGCATTAGTAGAAACGTTACATGCTTTGTATGCTTTAAATGTTTCCCCCCTCCGGATGATAAAATGGTATGAATCGTGGTCTTCTTTCAGGGAATTCTACCAATGAGCTTCCATAGTCATTGTTCTTTTTTATTCTCTGACCAACACCAACTCGATTAAGGACTGCGTCACAACTTGAAAATTGAAACAAAGGTGTTTTGTGGCATCCTATGCTTTCATATCATGAGGTTATGCTTGGATTATCTGTGGGGGTCAGCTGTCAGGGGGCATTTTAGATCTCGCACACGCGTAATAGGCGTTCCCTCTCAGGAGCAGGTACAGGGTTGTGCATCTGCATTTTTTTTTTTTAAGTGGAGAGGGCAGGTCTTTTAACAAATTTGCAAAACTCCTCCTTAATACCTTTAAACTGCTGCTGAGGCACAATGAAGTCTTTTCATATGCACACTTAGCCAATACTATCAGGTCTCCTCAAGCTCCTGGGGGCCCCATAAAACTCTGTTTACATGTATAGTTAATACAAGTATTCCTTATTTGTGCATGTTAATTTTGTTTTTGATAAAAATCCATACGAAAGCAGCAAACTCTGCTCTCCAGAGCGAGTAGATTGGTAACCCCGCCTCCTGCTCTCCTCTATCTTGTCTGCTGGTTTGATTCATGCAAATATTATTTCATCCAAATGAAAAATTGAGAACAGATAAGCAGATCATGGCTTGTCTACAGTGAAAAGAAGGACTGTTATTTAATTTTGCTGTCGCCTTATTGGAAACACAGGATCAGCTAAGCAATCAGCTAAGTTAACAGTGCTTAGAAAAAATGTTTCATTCCTTTTGAGACAGCTTATAAAGTCAGCTACAAAACATAAAAATAAAAGGGACAAGAAGAAGAGAGGGACAAATCGCAGAACAAATAACGTATGTCTATTCTATTAAGATTTCTACATCTGTATAATGGGTCTGTTTTCTGTGTTGTCCTTTCAATTCAGAGGGCCCCCTGCCTGTCTTTGCCTAGGACCCTAGATTTCCTAAATCCACCCCTGCTCACAGCAGAAGGTAACATACTAGTAAAGTCACTGTTGACTTGGAGGGCAAAACCAAATTTAGTATAATGGCTTTAAAGATGGACAAAAAATACTCAGTCTGGTTGGCGAAAGTGACCTCAGATGAAAGAGGTTATCTTGATATACTGTATATATATATTGTTTATTCTTAATGCACATTTTTCCTCCTTGTTAGCACCTTCGTCTTTATTTACTATGCCAATATGTGACCAGTGAATTTCTCCACTGTGAGATCAATAAAGCTCATCTAACACCTAAAGAACCACTGATGCAAGAAATATAAGTAGGAGCTTCCTTTGCTTATGACTCTGGCCGGCTGATTTTAGATCAGTTGCAGTTTTAACCCTATCTTTGTTTTAAGAAAAGAAAAAAAAGGTAAAGCAAAATCAGCTTTTCATATTAGTAAAAGGTGCATGAAACTTAAGAAGTCACATCTGGCCAGCAGTGACTTTTTCTATCCTCTTTGGCCACTTGGAGGCTCCCGGCAGCCTTACTATGCGTCACTTCGCCTCTCTTCAGTCGTTGATCATGGCGGAGCCGGAGCCACAGCGCGAAGTAGAGCCTCAACTTCTCAATGGAGGCGACTTGCAAGACGAGGAAAGAGAGGAAGCGGACCCCTGCGAAGCTGTGAAAAAAAGGAGAAGAAAGAAGAAGAGGAACAGGACGCAGGTGCCAGGTGAGACGCGTCACTTTGGAAGGAATGCAGCGCAAAATGTTTCCTCCTGTTTATCTGGATACGGGACAGGAGAGTTTTCAACCTTTTTTTTCTTTTTCTGAGAGTGACACTCAATTTTAAAATAAAAAAATTTAATAATAGGCTTTATATTTCCTTCAAAGTTGCAAAATGAGGGGTATAAAAAGATATATAAGATGGATAAGTTTCATATACTGGAAGCAGCAACAGTTCAGTGCAGGAAGAAAGTAAAAGATGTCACTGATACCTGCAACATTTTTATTATAAGGAGGGGAAAAATCATTAACACAACGCCGAGCTGCATTTGCTGCATTATATTGCATGTTTATTCCACACAGCACTTAACAGCATAATGCTGCAAGGTACATATGCCCTTGAACATAAAGACTAGACTGTCAAGAAATTATTCACAGGCTCTGCCAAGTTCAAAACATAGTGTATGCACTTTCTTGAAATGAGCAACAAATAATGAACTGTGTGTACCTGTGTGTGTGTGTGCACATGTATGCACAACAGTATGTGACTTTGCAGCAGGGACAAAGGAAGCAGAGGGGGACTGTGGAGAAGCTGGAGGTGTTGGTGAAGTAACAGCACAGCTGGAGCAGCAAACCTTGGAGGAGAAAGAGAGGCCTGAGGATGCAGAAGAAGGTATATCCTTCACCTCCAGTGATTCTAACATGCAGCTCAGGTGCTTCTGGAGCTCAAAGTGTGCTAAAAGTGCCACTGTGAGATTCAGCTGGCCATGACTGCTGCATGATTTTTTTTTAATTTGAGCGGACGCCCCAGGGAAATACGTCCATGCCATCAATATTCCCTTGCCTTAATAGCTGCATGATGCCTCCAACAGATGGTGATGAAGGGGAAAACTCAGCCGCCAAAAAGAAGAAGAAGAAAAAGAAGAAGAAAGGAGGTAAGGTGACTGGCTTTGACACAGAGGAAGGTATTATCATGCAGCCGGTTAAACTTAGTGTCTTGGTAAACTACTGAAAGCCTGGGAACTGATTGGTCATAATTGTTCACATAGTATATGTTTCATGTGATTTATCTTAGTTTAAGCCTAAGTTTATTAGGCTTAAACTAGGCTATTAGGAAAGGCTCTGTTCTTTAGATAAAAATGTAAAATGTTTACTCAGCCTCCTTTATGCTGAGAAGTGTTTTAAGTCCAGCACACATCCCACTTTTTAAAAAGTCTTTATTTATAATTAAAGAAAAAACTTTTCTTCACTTATATCAAACACATTATAATAATGTCTTAAGATAGATACTTTTATTTGTTAAAGGCTATTTGATCTGAAGCAGTGTTTGCCCTGTACCCCTCTTATTTCATCTTTTTCTACTTTTCTCTATCTGGGCCACAGTGAAGGGACAGACTGACCCTCCCTCAGTACCTATTTGTGAGCTCTATCCCAACGGTGACTTTCCAAAGGGAGAAGAGTGTGAATACCCCCCATCGAAAGACGGGTGTGTGACCTCCACACTTGGCCAAAAGACTCCTGCAGTGCCTAGTTTTTATTTAGGTCCCCTAACTTTACACAGAGACACATACACCTCTCTGCAAAACTGTGTTTGTTCTTTTTGACAGTTTTTGTGGAATGAGAAAATAATGAATTTCATATCTTCATGTGGCCACAAACGGCTTTTTAGACGCAGCGCAGCGTGGCGGAAGACCAGCGAGGAGAAGCGGGCAATGGACCGGGCGAACGAGGAGATGTGGAGCGACTTCCGGCAGGCGGCCGAGGCCCACCGACAGGTGCGCTCCTATGTCAGGAGCTGGATCAAACCGGGGATGACCATGATAGAGATCTGGTAAGAAACAAGCTGATAAAGCTTTCTTTAAGATCTGCACAACCAATGTGCAACTATATTATAGTTTTTTTTATTGACTGTGCAATATTCTGTGCAATATGCTGACTGTGCAATATATGTGAATATAATAGTCATACCACTACCTCACCGTTGTTCCTTACCTAGTACACTTTAATGTAAAAGTTAATCCACCTGTAAGCCATCCTGATTGTACACATATCACCTCAAATCTCTGTGTTACTCCCTTGTATTTTTTATTTTCTATTTCTTATTTTTATTTTCATTGTGTGTGATACATGTACACTTGCACCTTAATTCTTATTCTTATCTTGATATACTGTATATACAGTGCTTGCTTGTTTATTCTTAATGCACCTTTTTCCTCCTTGTTTGCACCTTCTTTGACTTCTATACCAATATGTGACCAGTGAATTTCTGCGCTGTGAGATCAATAAAGCTCATCTAATCTAATCTAATCTACCTTTAACCCTCTTTGCTGCTTTGGGTTTGCCTCAGTGAGAAGCTGGAGGATTGCTCCAGGAGGCTCATTAAAGAAGACGGGCTGAACGCCGGCTTAGCTTTCCCAACTGGATGCTCCATCAACCACTGTGCGGCCCACTACACCCCAAACGCAGGAGACCCCACCGTGCTGCGCTACGACGATGTCTGCAAAATTGACTTTGGAACACACATTAATGGTAACACCTATTTGATCAGTGTATTCTCATTATGAGTTCGTATGAAATCTTACGAAAAGTTATGCACCGTAATTTCGTACGTTTTAGACGTTTTTTTCGTCTTATTTCGTCGTATTTTTACGTCTTGCCTCGAGACAAGATATCCTTGCGCATGCGCATCTTACGCACCATTCAAAAACAGAATTGAACATACAATTAACCCTAACCCTAATATACAAAACATCAAGAAACGTAGTTAGAGACATGAAGAAGTAATTATTGCACTGTATGTCCCAGTTTTACGTCCGTCCACGGATCTGCTTTTTTCGTCTGTCTGCCTGCGCATGCGCACTGATCTGTTTTTTTGAGGAAAAACGTCCAAAACGTACGAAATACTGTGCATAAGTTTTCGTAAGATTTCATACGAACTGATAATGAGAATATGTTGATTTGATTACTCCTCCAGTGCTTTAGGGATATAATATTTTACACTAAGTGGAACAGAAGAATTTCAAAGTTTCACTCTCATAACAGCTCTTTTGAGTATTTATACCCCCTAAACTTTTCCACATTTTAAAGGTACACTATGCAACCGGTGTTGATTTTCCAGCGAAGCTCCCCCCAGGTTGCGAAAGTAAAAGTGCACTGTCGTAAATATGCTCAGCTGTTCTCCTGGTTTCTCCGTCAAGCCAGGTGCGGTTGTTTTGAGCCTAGCAGACAGGCGAACGCAACGAATGACTAACACAGTGAAAGTATGAACATGCACACAGAGAGAGAGAAACCATTCCAATGTTACTTACAATCGCATCAGCAGAAACGCGAGGTCCACGTCAGCCTTGCAGCCTACTTTTATTTTAGCTCTCGCCATTCGGAAAAAGCTTGCCCGATGTTCACCCGTGTACGACTCCTCTCTCTGTCCGGAGCCCTTTTCCTCTTTCTTGCCTGCTCCGACATGGGCTTTCGCTGTTTTCATGCTGGTTCCGCCATGATAACTGCACAAAGATCGCCACTGTGCTAGCAACGAGCATGTTTTTAACTGGGGGCGTGTAGCAGTTCTCGCCGCAAAGCAAGACCGACTCTCGCGAGACTTCTGAGCCTGTGGGTGCGGGCCGAGGGCTCCTGCAATTGCAAGTGCGGTATTTCCCCCACAGACCACCAGGGCGGCCGAGAATACCTTTGTTCAACCTGAAATGACTCATTTAATCATCCAAAACGTTATGGAACACATTAATTAACTGAAAAATGTTGCATAGTATGCCTTTAAAACCACAAACTTCAGTGCAGGCACAGACTGGGAACGTTTCAGTTCCCTGGCATTTTTCCCATCTACACCGGCCCACTTATGATTCCCACCAACCCCCGCCCTGAAAAAAAAAAATAGAAGCATAGTCCAACGTGTGCGTCTTAAATGTGAAACACAATACGAATACACGTTGTGGATTAACCGATCTATCTTCAAGCATCACACGACAATCATCACCAAGACTTCTTTAATGCGGTTTTACTGGCTTTGGTTATTTACACGGACGCAACAGTGACTGCTGCTGCGTAACGTCCACACTTGCACGAAGCCAGCCAACAATGCACGTCGGGAAACGTTAGCCTTTAGATGCAAAACTACATCATGCACCGCAACATATTTTTGCTAAATATTCTGAAATAAATTCTCCAAATATAGGAGGGACATCGTAGTTTGGTTTAAAGAAAGCATTTTAGTTTTATTAGAATTAAGTTTGTTGCAAGGATTTCACAGTTTGAAGAAATAGATAATGACACCATATGCCAACCATCACCAAGACGTCTTTAATGCGGTTTTACTGGCTTTGGTTATTAACCCGGACGCAACAGTGACTGCTGCTGCGTAACGTCCACACTTGCACGAAGCCAGACAACAATGCACGTAAGACGGGAAACGTTGGCCTTTAGATGCAAAACCACTTAATGCAACGCAACATATTTTTGCTAAATATTCTAAATTAAATTCTCCAAATATAGGAGGGACATCGTAGTTTGGTTTAAAGAAAGCATTTTAGTTTGATTATAATTTAGTTTGTTGCAAGGATTTTACAGTTTGAAGAAATAGAAAATGACACCATGACAACGAAGGGCTATATAAACTGCATGCATAATTTAGAAAGTTAACATTGTATTACTTCTTGAGCTCTTTGAGTTATTTACTGTCACAAGTAGGTTTTTTGGCCGGAGAGAAAGTGTTGGTGCCGGTATGATTTACGCTGAAATTAGGACCGGCCCACTGGTCAAATGCCCAGTATTACAGATTGCCTGTCCGAGCCTGCTTCAGTGTATTTTTGTGGAATCTGACGCTATAGATCTGCATGAAGTAGTTTATAGTTGTGATGTGGAAAAAAAAAAAACGATGCACAGATTTTAAAGTTTTTATTAGTTAAATCCTAAAAGTTTAGCATACATTTGTGATGAACCCTTTTTATTTTGCAATCCCTAAATAAAACCAAATGCAGGGGAAACAGGAAATGTAAGGTTACTAAGAACGACAGAAGCTCCATTTCAGCCATCTTAAACATAAACCCAGAACTACACTAAAATAGTTTAGATGAAAGATATTCATGAGTTGCAATGGCCTAAATGAACTTGACACTGTGACAAGTAGGGCTGAAACAATCAGATTAATCGCGATTCATTGATTATTGAAATAATGGTCAACTAATTTAGCAATCGATTAATCTTTAATTGGAGTGTAGAGACTGTAAAACATGCCTGGAGCTGACAGAGGAACACACATTGAGCAGTAATTATGCCAACATTGTAAAAAAAAAAAAAAAAAAAAAAATCTAAACATTTTGCATTAAAGATATATAAAAAAAAGGCTCTGTCAATATGCTCTATCCAGAACTCAAGTGGAAAAGTTTGAGTTTCACCTGGTTTAATTTTATAAAAAGCCTTCTTTAAGGAATCTTTGGCTCTCCAATTATTAATCGTTTAATCGAAAAAAATAATTGAGAGATTAATCAATTTGCAAAATAATCGTTAGTTGTCGCCCTGGTGACAAGGCTTTAAAACTAAACACTCTAAATTCAGTCTGGTAATGGGAAGAATGGGAGAAGGATGTTAGATAGATGTGCACATCATAGAGACACACTAAAACGCTTGAAAGGAAACTTTCTGCAAAACATTGAGTGGGACCATGTCTTTAAATTAGCAAAAATTGTTCTTTATCCTTCCTGTTTATGCTACAAATACCAATAATGTTCACATAGCGCTCTAAACTGACACAATATAAATAAATGTTTTGACTTTTTAGCCAATTGATTATTACTGGTACATGGAACAGGGGAGTAATTATTTTAATCATTTGTTTTTCCTTTCAGGTCGAATAATAGACTGTGCATTCACCGTCACTTTCAATCCAAAGTACGACAGACTTCTGGAGGCTGTGAGAGACGCAACCGACACTGGAATAAAGGTAACAGTCCCACCCACTCATTTCTGTTGTTCTTTTTTTTTTATATAATGAGACAAACAGATACTTATCATCAGAGAGGATGTATTTGTCTTCCCAGCATATTTACAGAAATCTTCTAATCTAGACAGAGTTTCAGCCTCTAAGGCAGGGGTGACCAACGTAGTGCCCGTGGGCACCAAGGGGCCCTCAAGGACAACATGGGGTGCCCTCAGCATCTTTGGAATACAGAACAATTCACCAGTGGACTAAATCTGAAATGTTATTTTTTACTGAAGCTCTTATTTTGAAGCATTTATGAAGCATTTTATCATATCAATAAATTAGAACATTTGATGATTTATATGGATTTCGTAATGAGAATATCTAAAAGCAAATTAAAAATGAAAAGAAACAATAGAAATATGTTTATTATCTATGAAGTTCAGGTGAACGCCGACTCCTCTAGTTCATAGGTCAGTATTGGTAGCCCGTCCTATGACCCAATCTATTACTATAGTATTCCTGTTTATTTATATAAAAATTACGTTAAACAGTAACAGGGTTTCCGGTGGTCATAAAAAATTACTAAAAGTCAATACATTTTTTTCTTTTTTAATAAGGCCTTAATTTTTTATAAGAATTAATTCAATTTCAGACAGACGGATATAAGCTACTAAAATCATAACCTCCTTGGCGGAGGGAATTATTATGGCTATGCCAATAGATTAGTAGTACCTTGGAGTAAAAACTAAGTATCTAAGGTTACAATAAATTTGGCCCCACTACTGTGGGAGTAAATACGTTTTGACTGATGATTTAAATTGTATTATGTGACTGTATTAATGAAAGTAAAAGTTTTAAGCTTTAAAATGTCTCCTTCTGAGTACGGTGATTATTGGGTCTCTCCTAGTGTGCTGGAATAGATGTGCGTCTGTGCGACGTCGGTGAAACCATCCAGGAGGTCATGGAGTCTTATGAAGTGGAGATAGATGGGAAAACGTATCAAGGTAAAAGCAGCCTGATGGTTTGTTTTCCCTCTCAGGTCGGCCTCTGCTTTAAACTTAATAATTACATTTGTTTTTTGGTGTTATTTCTTTTTTTCTTGGCAGTCAAACCAGTCAGAAACCTTAACGGCCACTCGATTGGACAGTACAGGATACACTCAGGGAAGACTGTTCCTATTGTGAAAGGCGGAGAGGCAACCAGGATGGAGGTTTGGATTCAAACAATTTCTCTAACAATTGTTTTCAGGCCAGAATCTCTCATGAAATTCAACAAGAGTTTGTTTATTGTTTTTTTTTGCTGGAGCCACTGGAATAAGGCACTGATTGGCTGTTTGACTTCATGAACAAACCTGATTAATTCTTAAATGGATGAATATTCAGCTGGTTGAGATACAAAAGGTGTGAGGAGGTGTTGCACAAATCAGAGCGTTAATTTTTATCTTCTTACAAAACAATAATCACACAAAGTACAACATTTAACCTGCAATATATAAGTTAATGAATAGAAGCTCCTGTTAAATGAGTTTGTTTGACATTTAAGGGGTCTCTTATTAAAACCTTGAAAGTAGATTTATTGAGATAAGTGAAAGAAAAATTATGTTTGCAAATTATTTTACTAAAAAGAACTCAGTTCCCCTCCTTCTTGTGTCTGAAATCCAACAAAATGAAAAGCAACATACTTCGAAATTATGAGAAAGATGCCGCTGCGTTCTAATCTGACTCCGCCAGATGGATTTGCTAGATTTGCTCCGCATATCCATCTGGAAATCTTCTGTTGAAGTAATTTTGGGAAGGGGCGAAAATACTTGTTAGCTGATTGGCCTATGTTGGTGATAGACGGGCCAAATAAACCAATCAGATCAACGAAGCATATGACGTACTAACAGAGCGACGACGAAGAGGAGCCAATTGATACTGTAGATCAAACTCTTGCCGAAACCAGTCGGGAGAAGAGCAAAAACATTTTTTGCTCTTCTTTCAGTGAAGAAATACTCTGCAATTCCGATAAAACTTGCTCAATAGCCATGCTAACGCTAGTTTCATCGGCTGAAGCCGCCATGTTCTTTAGACCGAACTGTCGCACTTCTCGTTGCGTCACACCTCAACCCGCCTCAAAGCCAACGCTGATTGGACGTTCGTTTGGTGAACGGCTCCAAATTTTCTTTAACGGAAAGTAGCCGGAATGATCTGCGAGTGAAACCTTGAAAGCTCGCGAGATCAGGATGGTCTCACGAGGCTAGCTGCGTTCAGGCGAGGCTCAAACTGAACTTCCTGACCTACATGCTGCTGGTTTCTTTTCTTTGTGCAGGAAAGGAAAGCTGTTAGTGGAAGGGACGGTGAGTGGAGCTAAATACAGAGCAATATAAATTTGGAAAAACTGACAAAGGCAGCAAAAGACTCTGTAGCCAGGGCCGCATGCAGGGCCTAAAAAATACTCAGTCACTTCTAGGTGGGTTCAGATAACCTGACAACAGTCAGATGCATGTCTAGCTCCGCCTAGAGCTAGGCATGCATGTCTAGGCTTGCATGTCTAGCTAGGCATGCATGTCTAGCTCCGCCTAGAGCTAGGCGGAGCTAGACATGCATCTAGCTGTTGTCAGGTTAGGGTTCAGAGGCCTGCTCCCAGAAAATGTTTCTAATTCCATTAGTCAAATCTGCCTTAAGGAGCAAAAGCAACATCATCATGACTATTCGGTGCATTTCTCTGTCCCTCTTTACCTGACAGATATTTCAGGAATTATTAACTGCTAAATTAGATTTTTATGTAATCTATCTTTTGAAGCTTCTATCAAAGTGGTTAGAAATGTGTCACAAAAGAAATTCCAGTACAATTGAAATACCGTATTTTCACGACCATAAGGCGCACCATACTAAAAGGCGCAGTCTCAGTTATGTGTGCCATTATTTAACACACACATAAGGCGCACCGGATTATAGGGCGTGGGTTTTATATACCGGTACATATACTCTGCTACGTTTAAATACCTCTACTGCGTATTTAAAAATAGAGCGGGAGCAAAACTGAGTATGTTTGTGCTTTATTCATGTATTTATTACAAAGTATTAATCAAACCCATCAAAGTCATCATCCTCTGTTTCTGAATTAAACAGCTGCGCTAAATCAGACATGCCAATTTCCCCTTCTTCGCTGTCAGAGTCACTTTCCGTGCAGCGCAGCTCCTTGGAAATGATGCCGGCTTCTGCGAAAGCTGGAACAACAGAGCCAGCAGACACGTTAGTCCAAGCATCTACAATCCATCCGCAAACGGTGGCGTAACTTGCCCGGCGCTGCCTTCCACTTTTGGTGAAACTGTGGTTTCCGTCGTTCATCCATCACTCCCACTACGCTCGCAGCCTTACTTTGAACGGCCAGTTCACACCGATGTCGAGCGGTTGAAGTTCCTTTGTCAGACCTCCCGGAATAACAGCGAGCACAGCGTTCATTTGTTTCACCATGTTTTTCACATCGGCTGTGAGATGGGCATGCATGGAGTCACAGATTAATAGCGGTGGTGATGCGTGGAAAAATGGCACCGTTCCATAAAACACACATACACAATCCACGCAAACACTTCCCCCTTTAACGTTCTCACGGTGGTCTCAACAACGTCTGCAGTAACAACACACATAGGGCGCACCGCACATTTTGAGGAAAAAAAAAAGACGTTTATATGCGCCTTATAGTCGCGAAAATACGGCAAGTTGCTTCATATTTACTTCAGTATTTGAAACAGACACCTAGACCTTATTACATTTTTATGCCTAATCTGTTCACTCTTCTTATGGAAAGCCACGTTTTGAACATATATCTATTATGATCTTACACAATACTTCAAGTATCATGCAATAAATATTTGCTTTCCTCCCTATCCTGTTTTCCCTTTAGTGAAGAAAATCAACACAGTCATATACAAAAATGACAGAAACAAGGCACCCTTTTCAGATATCTATGCCGTGTATTTCATTTTTTAAAAGATAATTTTTATTCTACTTCAACAATGTGCACTATGTTGTGTTGCTGATATAAAATCCAAACTAACTCTTCTCAATTCAGAGGGCCCCCTGTCTTTGCCTAGGGACCCAGATGTCATAAATCCGCCCCTGTAGTGAAGATCTGCAGGTCTTGTGTCTTGCACAGGTGCATGAAACGGCTGTGTTGGATCAGAAGCAGCAAGTTGCTTTGTCAAGCTGAAGGCTGCAGGGGGAGGGGAGCAATAAGGGCAAAGGAGGGATGCTGATGTGGCACCTTTTGCACATTGTATTTTTAGCTGAAGTGTGTCGGTGTAACAGGCCCATTACCCCCGCTTTTGTGATCAGAGAGTGGAGCAGCAGCTAGGCGTGCCGTGGGGCTGCAAGCACTTTGCCTGATTATCGGTGCAGCGGCAGAGGGCGGTGCAGCGTTATCAGCTAATACCACTGGGACTCCAATAACAACCGCAGGTTGATAGAGGCACAAAATGTCAGCGAGACGCAGCCAATCAGAGCTGACGGCCACTACTGTCCTTCTTACACCTTATGTGAATAAATTAGCAGCTGTCAACTGGAGGTTTTGGTCAAATTTACTCTGTCATTCACCCTGTTTTCTGCACCGACTGCGTCCTCTCATTCCTGCCCTTTTAAGTTTTCATGGCATTTCTTCATGTTGCGTCAGCAGCGTAATGAGCGGCTCTTTTCCTGCCTTTCAGGAAGGTGAAGCTTACGCCATCGAGACGTTTGGCAGCACCGGAAGAGGCGCAGTCCATGACGACATGGATTGCTCTCACTACATGAAAAACTTTAATGTTGGACATGTGCCGATAAGGTTTAATCCTCACATTTGACCTTTTCACTGACACACTAGTGGCGTTTTACGAGTAGACTCCCTTTTTTTAACCTTTAAATTGTCTTACAGACTGCCAAGGGCTAAACACCTGCTGAACGTCATCAATGAGAACTTCGGCACGCTTGCCTTCTGCCGGCGCTGGCTGGACCGCCTGGGTGAGAGCAAATACCTGATGGCGCTGAAGAACCTGTGCGACCTCGGCATCATAGACCCGTACCCGCCTCTGTGCGACATCAAGGGCAGCTACACCGCCCAGTACGAGCACACCATCCTTCTCAGGCCCACCTGCAAAGAGGTAGTTAGCCGAGGAGATGACTATTAACCCTGCAGCAAAGAGCCTGGACCTGGAGGAGCATGGCAGCTGAGCCACAACGAACCACTTCAGACTGACAGCAGCTATGCAAAGTCTCTCTGACCTAACTTTTCACCGCTTGAATCCCTTTAGGTACAGTGCCTTTAAAAGTATTCATAGCTCTAGAGCTCGCTACCATTTGGTCACGTTTCAACCACTAATTTCAGAGCATTTTATTTGGGTTTTGTGTGACAGATTAAAAAAGGTGTATCATTGTGAAGCAGGAAGACTGTTTTTAGATTTAGTTATTTTATTTTTATTTTTACTGATTTTTGGTAAGTTTAAAAAAAATGGAAATCAAATTCTAAATGGAATATTCTGTTGAACCACCTTTTGCCACAATTGTAGCTGCTAGGTCAGGGGTCGGCAACCCAAACTGCTCAAAGAGCCATATTGGACCAAAAATATAAAAAATAAATAAATCTGTCTAGAGCCGCAAAAATGTAAAAGTCTTATACATGCCTCGTATGGAAACACGGGTGTTTTATCCCACTATAGAAAATGACTATGTGAGCTTAAATATATAATAAGCATTCATGATTAAATCTTTATCCTCGAGCAAATGTCACATAGCAGCATGAGGTGAGGGACGAGCAGTGAACGCTCCCATCACGCGCCGCTTAACAGCCCTTTACCGCGCGGTTTAAGTTTTGTTGCATTGATGAAATGATCAAGGAATCTCTCTATGTTGGACGTGTTTCTGTTGGGAGGAGTTGATTGAGTCATGAGGAACCAAGCAGGAACTGACACCCATCAGAGCAGAGCTCTCTAACCCTGAAATCCCCCATCCCAGCATTCCTTGGTGTGATTTATATTTTTTGGGTTTTGGGGAAAAAATGGAAGAAAGTTCCCATCCCTGCATCAGAGCTCTACCTGTTCGATCTGTGGACGGTTTTCCATCCTTGCAACAAAACTAGCAGCAGTAGTGGAGTTTGGAGATGTAATCCACTTCTTAAATCTACATTTGCTCTCCTCTAATTTATCCAGAAGTTCTGCAGTCACCATTTTTCTCTCCCTCCCAGCTTGGTTGTTGGCTGCATATTTAGCTTGCCTTCCCTGGAAATGCCTTTCCAAATTTTTATTTTTATCTTTTGCCAACCTCTCATTACCAAGCAAAAATGCAGGCAATCGTTCCGCATTGATAATGAAAGAAAATGATTCGGTCCATCCTTTGAATCCTCTTTTCTCAGATATCTTCCTTTTTTCCCTTTTGGGATCCATGGTCCGAGACACACCAGCAGCCTGGCACTGTGCAGCGCTGGTTGCAAGTTATGACCTCTGATCTCTACGGCTATGACGCAAATTATTGTTTAAATTTATTTATTACACAAATGTTTACAGCATTGGAAAACATGATTATTTTTTGTTTGACCTCCTGCACACCATATTAAAACAAAAGAAAAAAAAACAACTTAATTTTCAGAAATTTTTGAAAAAGCTCCAGGGAGCCGCAAGGGGAGCGCTAAAGAGCTGCATGCGGCTCCGGAGCCGCGGGTTGCCGACCCCTGTGCTAGGTATTTCTTTAAAAATAGCAGATTTTTCTTTGCTAAATAGCTTTTGTTTGGTTAAACCTAGATGCAGAACATCTGTGAAGCCTTGACCGTCTCTCCATCAGTTTAGATCTGGACTATAAGTAGCCCATTCCTACATTGAGGAGATGCTTTGATCAAAATAATTGCATTTTAGATCTGGCTGCTTATTTAAAGTCATTTCATAGCTAGAGGCTGAACTTGTCGCTTAGTCTCAAATGTTGAGCGACCTCTAGCAGGTTTTCTTCCAGCGTGGTCCTTCATTTGGTCCCTGCTGAAGGAAAGCATCCCCATGCTGCTGCCGCTACTACAACTTAATTTTATGGATTGTGTGGTTAGGTTCATTCATGCTGTTTTAGTGAGGTCTCATTTGACCAGAGCTCAACTTCTCTGTATCTCCTCCACAGCTTTATACAGGCTATATTTTAGGTGCTCATTCATGACGGCCTGATTTATAAACTACAACTAATAGTTGTCCTGTCAGGATCTAAGCTTTGGATTTCTGCAGCTCCTCAAGAGTCCCTATAGGCTGCTTGGTTGCCTCTCAGATTGCTCTGCAAAAACAATTTGAAGAAAGTAGAGAAACTTTTGTTTATGTACATTTTTTTTTTCCTGAAAGAAAACATATTTGCAAGAAAATTAAGCCAGTGCTACATCTTTTTCTTGATATTTTTCAAGATATTTCAGTTGATCTTGGGTATTATTTACCAGTTTTTCTTATTTTAGGAGTAATGCTACCAGAATAATTGTTCAATTTAGAAAATTAATTTAGTGAGTTTATTTCTAATCAAGCCACTTTGACTTACCCCAATGATATTTGGCTTATAGCATATTTTTACCACCACTTTAAGATCTCCTTTTGAACCTTTTGTTTCTTGTGTTCAACAAAACCTGTGGTTGGTCAGAAATATGTAGAGTTTGGGTGCAGAAAAAGTGACATATATACTGCAGCTGCCCTATGAAGGCCTCCCATGAATCCTGCTTGAAGCATCCTGCAAAGAACCAACTTTGTTCTTGCAAGCTACTAAACAACTGATCTGGCTCTGATGAAGGGTGTGTAGGCCTTCATGCTGGCTTTGCCCTGGCTTGTTAGTTTAGATGCATGGCCATGTGACGGGGGTTTCAATTTCCATCTAATTCTTCTCTTTCAGAAGATGGATTTAATTGTGAAAGTAAGATTTTTTGATTTGTTCCTCATCTTTGTGCTGTTAGTTGTTCTGTGATGTTCTTAACAAACCTCTGAGGCCATCCCAGAACAGCTGGATTAATGTTGAGATTACACCATATGACCTGCTCAGTAATTAAGAGGCAGATAGTTGCATTAATTGATTTTATTTTAAAGAGGACTGAATACAAATATGTGCCACAGTTTTTAGATTTCACTCATTATTCCTCAGCCTTAAAGAGGTAATAAAATATGTCAAAGGAGGTTGGAACAGGTGGAGCTAAGCAGTGGCGGTTCTAGACCAAATGTAGCAGGGGGCCAGGAGGGGGGCAGCATGTTTTCATGGGGGGCACAAAAAAGCATGACATGAAAAAAAGGGCACGGGATTCAAATATATTAATATAGCTGCATGAAGAGAAATTTCTATTCAATTACCGTAATTTTCGGACTATAAGCTGCGACTTTTTCCCCCATTTTTCGACCTTGCGGCTTATTTAACAATGCGGCTTATCTTTGGACTTGTACAGCTAACGGCCACTAGGGTAATACCTAAATCTATGGATTTTACCATCCACCATGTTGACGTCACATTTGCTTCAACACGCAAGTACGGTAGCTTCGCGCAGTAATGCAGAGGTCCTCCGGAAGCAGACTTCTACCGCGAGTGGTACGAGACAAGTCGACAGCGAGAAAGACGGACATTGCGTGCGCAAGACAGTTTGTGTGAAACCTGCGGCTTATAGTCCGAAAATTACAGTAGGTTTAATTAAAATTCTCTCTCTTATTAGGTCAATATACATTCATAATTTAGGGATTTTACATATTTTTGAGTTAATTTAAGTTAAAATGACCGTCTTCTATCAAATCTGAATTAGAACACAAGAAAAACCAATAATTTCAGCTGTAAAAATTTGTTTTGAAAAAACATTTAGCACTTGAAAACAGGGATCCAATCTCAATACCACTGAAGCTATCAACTTATTGTTTTTAAATAATTAGTAAAACAGAAAAAAAATGAAATAGATCCAAAGTAACCACATTTGTTCCAGCGCTTATCATTAGAATTTCTTTAAGCATAATGTCTTCAGTACAGGGGCCAGGACATGAGGGGCACTGGCCCCCGTTGTCCCCTGTCTAGAACCGCCCATGGATCTAAGTGTTCAGTTTAGAAGGAAGAAATAGGAGGCAGATAAAGATGCTGAGGTTCGATGTAGGATAGGAAGGATCAGGAATGAGTCCATCAGAAGGACCAGTCATGTTGGATGAGTTGGAGATAAAGCCAGAGAAGCTACAGTAGACTGAGATGGTTTGGTTACCCACAGGTGAGGGATAGTGAGCATCTGTGGAGGGATGCTGATGCTGGTGTAAGACCAAAAGATGATTTACAGGTGGAGTTAAAAAGGACAGGAAGGTGTGATGGAAGATGAGGTTAGATGGCGATGGATGAATTGCCGTGGAACCCCCCTGAAAGGGCAAACCCAAGAGCAGATTTCCCTTCAGTGATCTGTAACATAAAATCCCAATAAAAACATTAAGGTCTGTGGCGGTAATGGGGAAAAGTTCCAGCGGTATGAATACTTTTGGACCACACTGTAATTAATGCAGCTAAACCAGCCTCATGATGAGAGCTTCGTAGAGTTTTTGTTTTCTTCTAATGATTAATCCAGGAGTCAAAGGGTAAATATTTACTGAATGTAGCATTTGCAGGGTTAGTTCAAGTGCTGCTTTTAGAAAATATGCAAAACAAATTTATGCAACAAAATATCCGACCCCCTCAAAAAAGAAAAAAAATACAATGGACTAGCAGCTCTCCAGAAAACACATCCAGCTTTGTTGCTTTGTTAGAATCTGTTGAGGGGAAAAAAAAAAAGCTTCTATAAAATATTAGTTTTTTTAATCTGCTGCTGCTTTCTTTTTCATTTGATGCCATTTGTATACAAAATAAATTATTATAAATATGGAACTGGAGCAATGCTCGTATGCTTTGTGATCATTTGTGAACTTTTCACAGGAGGCTTCATTCCACTATACAGCATTCCTGCATGTCTGGATGAATAAAACCAAGTTACTAAACCTGAAGAGATTGAAAATATGTAGCTTATAAGATCACAGAACATAAATTTGTTGTTTTTTTTTTTTATCACAAATAAGAATCTATTTGATGTCAATTAACATAAAATGTTTTGAGGAAATATGAGAGATATGAAAGAACCTTCAGGAAGCATCACAGGAAGGAATGTGGTGAAGTAGGATCTAAAACATTGTCCTTCCAAACAGATCTATTCTACATGCTAGTAGCTTCATAGACATAAATCCCTCACGAGAAATATCCTAAACTGTTTTTCTAATTTTTTGCTCTTTACATTTTGAAGCCTAAGGCTACCTCCTGTCAGAGTTATGCATAAATTTATAGTTTCACTAATGTTTGATTATTCAAAATGTATATAATTTCACAATGACATTACTTAGGTCTATGTACTTATTATCATCTTATAGTATTAGGAGGAACTGACTGGAGGTGAACTGGTCTATTAGGTAACAGCATTGAAATGGAAACATTTAGAATAGAAATATCTTTTATTATTGAATCTGTATCTTGAAATGAATAAAATAGCTTGTTAGATTTCAGCTGTGCTTGAAATCTACCATAAAAGCAGACAGTTGTTTAATTCTACTTTTTTGCTGTACTTCTGTTTAATAATGGTATATAT